TGTAAATTTGGTGGTATCCATACCCGAGAGTAGGGGTTGATGGGCTGGCCATTGATATCCAGATACTCCTCCGCAAGCACCTTGGGTCCCTTATCAATTGGACGCCCCGAACCATCGAAGATACGACCCAGCATGTCCTCGGACACACCGAGCTTCAAGCTGTGACCGCTGAACTCGACTTTAGTCTGATCTAGGTGTTAGCAATCCTAGAAACAAGCTCTGCCCGTCTCCGTCGCCCTCGGAGATTCTCACCTTCTTCACATCAACACCGGGGGTACCCTCGAACACCTAGTAATAGCGAGTATAATGTCAACGTCTTGTCATGATAAGTGGAATCGGATTGGCATTGGACGCGGTTCGTACCTGGACAACAGCTCGATCTCCTAGAATATAGATAACACAAATTAGCCAAATATTCTTTGGACAGCGTATGGCAAGTACCGAAGTACAGCAGCAGGTCTGGAAGCTTACCCTTGGCCTCCAACACTTGACCGGAGCGCTCCGTTCCATCGGGCAGGGTCAGGGTGACAATTTCGTTGAAACGGGGGAATTTGACCTGAAGCGAAGAGCAGGGAATTAGCGACAAGCTCCAGATCCAGTGTCAAGCTATTTCCAACGATCTCACATTGTCGAGGACGACCAGCGGTCCGTTAATGCCTCCGATGGTGTTGTAGCGGATGCGGGGCTTGATGGCGGCCAACCGGGGGTCGGTGGACTCTGGCATGTCGGGCGAATCGGGTCCTCCACAGACTCAACGTAGAAATAAGTCAGATGGGAGTCTTCACAAGATAGGAGTCGAGCAAGCTTGGATGAGCCTAAGCCGGGGGGGGTTGGCCAAGCTGTCCGCTGTGCAGCTCGGGCGGTGACGCGGCACGTGATTACGTACACGATGACTAAGTGAATGACTAATGGATGGTTGTGCAATGTACTAGCACTAGCACAAGCACAGCATGGGATGAACATTATCGCGTCGGCAGTTGCAGTTAGGCGTGATCATTTACCCGTCAGCCTCTTCTCTCCTCGTAGGTTTCCACTCCGTCAACTTCTTTCACTCCTTTCAAACCACCCCTGCCCACTATATTGAGAAGTGCTGCGGATACCTTCCTATTGTTCGGAGAAACCTTCCGTTTATCGCCTCTAGATTTCTTATCGCCACACTCCGCTCTTCCGCTCTGACTCCGCGATTCGGGCCCCGGATCTTTTTGTGATTATTTTTCTTTTCTTTTGATATTTGGACTTCGCCCCATAGATACAATCGCCTAGATACGGTGAGGGATAAATGACTCTGCTTGAAAGTCGGATATGAGCCTCTTTCAGAAGGGAATCGGCTCCCACGCTGTCACATTCGCAACCCGACCACGATTAATTGTACCCCGAGCTCCGCTGCGACGAGTGCGACAGCCCCGACGATACAAATCCTCCACCCCCGAACAGCCACCTGCGCAGGGAAACCCCACCAAAGATGGATCGGCGGTGAACACAAATACTTCAAATACTTCTACAAACCCTTCTTCGCCGTCGAGTTCGTCCGGTGCACAACAACCATCCAATGCCTCGGCGGCAGTGGGTGCGGCGGGTGCGGCGACCACACCCACAGGCGCTACTGAGGTTGTGCGTTCTCGGGGATTCAAGGAGATCATAAAGGCTAGTCCTTTAGGTCGACTTGGGAGGTGGTATTCGGGTGCTCAGGCGCGGAAACCCTATACTGTACAGGTGTGGAGTTCAATCGTGATATACTTGTGTGGAGATCTGAGTGCTCAGCTGCTGTTCCCCGAGAAGCCATCGCCAAAGGAACAAGCTAAGCTTAAGGAGACATCAGAGATACATGAGGAAGACGACACGGAGAAGAGCTTTTTGTCTACGTACGATCCCTGGAGGACTGCACGGCATCTGGTTGTCGGAGCGGGATCGAGTATTCCGTCATATCATTGGTAAGTTAGACCTATCGCGGAGACTCAAGCAAAGTCTGCAGGGCATATTGTGATCAAGATACGGAGCATGCAGAGAACTGACCCTTATTTCTAGGTTCTGGTGGCTCCACAACAATTTCAACTTTTCATCCAAGCTTCTGTCAATCCTTACAAAAGTGGCGGTTCAGCAGGCATGCTTCACGCCCGTATTCAACACCTACTTCTTCAGCGTCCACTCCCTTCTTGGTGGTGCAACTTTTGAGGAAACCTGGGAGCGTTTGAAGAAGGCCCTCCCGGTCAGTGTTACCAACAGCGTCAAGCTCTGGCCTGCCGTTACTGCCTTCAGTCTGGTCTATGTGCAGCCGCAGTTCCGCAATGTCTTCGGAGGTGTTATTGCCGTTGGCTGGCAAACGTATCTGAGCTGGTTGAACCAGAAGGCTAAACACGAAGTTGAGATGGCCGAGCTGGCGGCTGCAGCCGAGAGCGCAGTCTCCGAAACAGCGAATCCTTTGAATGGTAAGCTGGTTTCCGCAGCAGGAACTGCTTGATAAAGAGTCGAGGATCTGTTTCTCATTTAGAATTCACATGGGGACCTTTGTATAGATGTCACGCCGAACATAACCGGCGTTGGGAGGGGGAGATTTATTTTGATGAGCGATGCATTTTTGGCTACGGCCAACAACACTAGACAATAGACCTAGATTTCTTTTCTTTCGTTTATCTCATCTTAAATATACCAATTGAAAAACACCCAAGATTTCATCCCTGTTCGACTGGAACTACCTTCGAAAGTTGTGAGTTGATCGATGTCCAATCATCGGCCGTGAATTCCCAAGCTTGACCTGCGATGACGCATGGCGCGTCTTGATCTTCAACTTTCGCATGCCACTGTAGGGACATGAGCTCTCTCGATTATCGCAGGCATGTCCTGCTCACCGCAACTGCCGCGGCCTGAACAATCTGATTCCAGTGACTACGGATCAGATTTCTCTCCCGAAGAAGACGAACTACTAAACGAGCTACTCGCCAAAGTCGTCGCGGAAAACGCGACTATTCTTCCCAACGCCACCACGACCTCGACCTCGACCTCGATCCCTACAGCCGCGCCGGTAACACAAAACACAAACAGAGTACTCTTACCATATCCCACGGATACCGAGACCCTACAACCGACGACTTTTGCGGCGCTCGTCGCGGATATTGAAGATGGTATTGAGGATGCCCCGGGTGTCAGCCTACTCAAAGTGCTGGGCCGGGAGAAGCCTCGTTCGCCATGGAGACAATCGAGTCAACGTCCTTGGATGGGCTCGCAAAGTGCAAGGGATTCTGCAGATAGAACAAGCCCGGGACCAAACAACAGGCCCAGCCCGCTTGGTAAGGATTTCTTCGAGCCCTGTGCCGCACTGACGATCCATTGAACTCAGTCTGACCCTTTATTATCCGAAGCGTTTAGTGGAACACCCTCACTCATCCGAAGGCAGAGAACGGGAGCGGGAGCGCAGTGCTGCGCGTGAGTTAGTTTGGACACAAGAAGCACAGACAGCTGCCACAATAGACACCAGATCTCCCGTGGAGCGGTTCAGACGCCCACCAAATAAGGCTTTCTCTGTAACTGACTTGGTTTCGCCTGCTTGGTGCGAGCTGCAATATTGGTATACCTTGACCAAGCATGGGAGGAAAAGAAGAACCCCCGCCATGAAAAAGGGCAGCGTCGTGCACAAGACCCTCGAGGACGAGATATATACTACCGTGCCAGTCGAGATCACCACCAAAGAAGATGCATGGGCCCTCAGGATATGGAATGTGATTCAGGGACTGCGGTTGCTGCGGGAATACGGCATCACTCGCGAATTGGAAGTTTGGGGCCTCATCGATGGAGAGGTTGTTAATGGAGTGATTGACCAGCTTTCGTACGAATGCCCAGACCCCGGGTTCGAGGCAACAGCTGCGAGATTTTATGAAGATGCAGCGACGTCGCGGGCCGCCATGCCTGAATACCAGATGTCCTTGTCGGACTATTTGCTTTCTTCCTCCCAAGGTGGAAGGAGGCTTTCAGACCTTGCTGAGCACCAGCCCGTGGAGGAATTCTACCCCCCCGAAGAGGAATCCATGGCTGTTTATGATCTACCGAGGATATACATGACAGACGTGAAGACCAAGGCGAATGGATCGGCTCCTACGGTCAAGAGCACATCTTTCCGGCCGACGCTCCTGCAATTGCAACTTTATTACCATATGCTCAACCGTCTTATTACGAGCGACGATGTAACGATTTACGTTCTTGCAGAACGCTATGGGTTTGACCCGGAACGTCCATTTACCGATACCTTCATAACTGAAGTGGGTGGATTGAATGATGAGTTTTTTAACGCCGAGTCTACCCAAGAGCTTGACATGGATGATATTCCAAAACCAGATGATGCTATACGGAGGTCTTCTGGCTCCAAACCAGCCTCTAGCCTCCCAAAGGCTAGTCAAGACTCAACAAGCATCCTCTTAACTCATGGGACTCTTGCAAGCCTCTGGGATTACATGAAAGACCAACTCCGTCTTACATTCCTGCCCGAATATTCATCAGCCCCGTCCCCTGTCGCACCCTCTATTCCATCACACACCCAGCCAGAAATGCTCAAAGAGTACCCTACCCTTCTTTCTCCTGTTCTTACCGCACGATACGTGTCGTCGGCCGCGACAACCGACCCCAAACCTCGGCATATCGGAAGTAGATCTTTCTTCTACGACACTGACACCATGAGTTCCTACATTACTGAACAAATGGAATGGTGGCGTGGTCAGCGTGATCCCCGTGGTGTCGACGTCATGGAGGCTTGGAAATGTCGTTTCTGTGACTTCAACGAGGAGTGCACTTGGAGACAAGAGCGAGCGTTAGAATATGCCAGACGAAACAGCAGACGGAGGACGAGTGCTTCGGTAGATGTCTGAAGTCTCTCATATCCCACACCCACACTCTACTCATACATCCTGCATAGAGATGGCGTTCATCAAACGAGAATAGACCCTCATAATAAAACATGCTAGAGTTAACATACGAAAGCTTGGAATACATACGCAAATCAATCATAATTCTAATTACAACGGATAAGCCCGTATATCATCTTCCTTCTCTACCTCCAGCCCATTCGCGACCTGCTCTTCATGCTTCTGATCCAAATACTCCAACAAAACCTCCTCATACTTCTGTTTCCCCTTATATCTCGAAACATCATTCCCCCAACTCCGAATCGCAGAAGCCAACCGACCAGGCACATAAGGCTCTTTAACAATCTCCGTAATCGGCTCAAAGTACGTCCGAATAGTAAATACCACCGCTCCCGACTTAGGCAACCTTCGCAAAGATTGTCTCTCGGAGCGAAAGAAATGATGCTCAATCGCCTTATTCTTCTGCGCCGTATTCCATGACACGGTCTCCGCATCTTCGGACCCGATGCTGTGCGACCAGGCCAGACTATCATCTACCTGGATGAAGTAATTATTTCGCAAAACGGGTTCTTCGGGCTTCAGTCGACGGAAAAAATTCATCATGCCCTTTTCGAGCTTCTCGCGGAATTGAGGTACGTCGCCCGAGGTGTGGATTTCTGAAAGTCGCATCCCGAATTTGTCGCTCAGGCGCCAGAATCCCGCTAGCAGGATTGCACCGGCTAGGAGGTAGTATTCGCCGTCGGGTCGTTCGAACATTAGGGCTAGGTCGTCTTGGACGAGCCGGGCTGCTGTTGCCATTGGGTCTTCGGGTAGTGGACGTTGGGTTATGTTGAAGGTTTCGTTGGTGGCTTTGTTGGTTATACCTGTTGGGGTCTTTTCGAACATGCTTGGGTAGCGCTCTGGGAGGTAAGCGCATCTGTTTGAGATTTGGTTAGATCTCGTTCATTGTTGTCGTAGTGGGAGGAGGAGGAGGAGGAGGAGGAGGAGGAGTTGCTTACAGTTCTTCAAGTAGTTCGATGGCACCGTCCATTGCCTCTGGTGCGGTGCCAAAGCACTTTTCTCCGCGTTCCTCGATTCTTTTCTTCTTGTCGGCGTGATATTTGAGGTAATGGTTGTCTAGTTCTTGAGAGTGATACATTCATTAGCATATATTCTGCACCACCATTAAAGTGAAATTTACCTATCCATTCATCCCACTTCATACTTCTCAACCCGAGTGTTATAAAATACTTTCTGCTCTAAATATTAGTCGATGCTGGTATATGCGATGGGCTTAGAACTCACGGGCCATATCGAAACGGCCTGTACGGGATGGGCTTGGTGTTGTGGACATCCCAGTCAGAGTAAGGTGCTGCGGCAGGCCTCTTGAAGGTAGAAGGTATCCATTCTGGTCCATATTTAGCTACCCACATTTCACTTTCAACCAGGAATTTGATGGCTACTTACCACCGAACTTTCTCGTCACCTTCTCCCTAACACCTGGGCTGGATGACGGTTTTTCTAGGTCGGGGGAGCCTGGTCTCGTCGACTTGCTGAAGCGTGCGATCCATTTTCGAGAAACGAGAAACCCCAGACAGATTGCCAAGTTGATGGCTAGGAAGATCCCCACGGGGTCTTTTGTTGGTGAGATGGATAGGAGGGTTTCGTGGAGATATTTCGTCACCGCCATGGCTAATTCTGGGATTTAGAACACACTGGCAGCTATATGCAGTCGAAGAATGTGGATAAGGCTTGTTCTATTAGACTAAAGTATCCATTGTCGAAAAGAGACAGATATATCGATAAAAACACTATATGTCCAGCTGAATGGAATAGTCTAAGCAGTCTTTTGTATTATAGTAAACTCAGAATCCCTTATCCTATAGTGTAACATCCTTGCAGGGATAAAATATCTCTCTCATAAATTGCCTTTCCTGTTAGTCCGATGCGATTGGGTCCTCTATCTGACAAGGAACGGACGTAGCGTGACTGAACTGCCACAAGTCGCGGGGAAACTAAAAGAGGGGATCCCGCTTTATCTCATCTCTTTCGAGCCGTTTGATCCGAGGCTGCAGTGAGACGAAAAGATCGTATGGATTACAAGCCAAAACATGGTTTATCTGCGGGGGACATGCTTATCATCTGCCAGGCCGAGCGCTCTCGAGGGATTTTTTTTTCCCGATCGGGTAAAGCGAGTATTAGCCTAAGGTTTGTACCCCGGATTCTCAGAAGAAGCGGGCTAACTACAGAGTGGAAGTGTGGAGGAAAGCATTGCAATAATAGTCACTTGACTTGTTTTGTAGACTGTGTATTGTCAAAAAATGACATAGCATACTATGCATTGCTTGTGTCAGTTCGACGCTGGAGGAGACAATATTGGCCCCATTTCCGCTGGAACTGATATGGAATAAAAGGTAGATCGGGAACCCAGATCAATCGACCTAGCAGGCTTGTTTGCGACGCATCTAGGAAGCTTGCACAAGAGATGTGTTCCCACTGGGATTCATCTAAGACGTAGTGGGGCTCTAGTTTGGTTGCTTCACGGTTTGGGAAGTGGGAATCAACTAGGAAAGAGCATTGTGAAATGTCGATCTGTTTCAATAGATTAGCTTGTCCGCAAACACTGAGTGGAAGGATTGTAACATGGGCACTTACATATTTGTCTAGGTCCTCTTCATTGAGATCGTTCATGCCAGACGGGATCTGTGAGGCACCCTCTAGCCGACCAAGGGCGTTTGGAGCATCAGGGAACTCGCCAGGAAGCAGACCGTTGAATTCACTCCGAATAAACTTGGCCCGCATATCGTGTGGCAAGAAGTATGAAGATGGGAATCGATACCATTCTTTACCGAAGCAGACGGATGCCCCAGCGTGGGTTACACCCACCTCTTGTAACGGCGAGAAAACCTTCAAGGGGGCGTTATATGCCGTGACCATTCCAAGAATACGTAACATTCCTGCATTGAAGGCCACCAAAACGACAGACAGGACCGCGGCGAGCTTGAGTTTGGCTGGCAAGCGACCAATAACCTCCTTTGGGTTGCTTGACCCAAGATAGGAGAGAATTATGTGGAAAGCGAGGGCCGCATTAAGAGCGATGAAGGGATACGCGGGGTACATGAAGCGCTCCTCCTTGTGTGGTTGCGAAGTAAAGATGCCAAACCACATGTAGAAAGGCGCGGTTAGAGTTATAGAGCGTAAAACGGCCTGAACGGATGTTGTATGAGACCGGAATAAAGCTTGGATGATAAGCAGCGGACCGGAAAACAGAGCTAGAGCAAACCAGACGTTGAAGTTCAAGAGGAGGTTCCGAATATAAAACGTCCACGGCTCGGTACCGAAGATCTCAGGACCTTTGCCTTGGCCACCGAAAACATTGTATGCAACAATATTCCAGGGCACGAGCGCAATCTTTCGGAAGAAAGCATAGTCAACTGCCATTTCAAGGCCCTGTAAGTTGTCTTAGTAGAGATCAAGAGTAAAGATGAGCTGGCACTTGAAACTTACCACAATTGCAAGGCATCGGAGAGCTCCATCGAATATCATGTAGAAAAGAGATCCCAGGGACCCGGCGAAAAAGCAGATCACGATCTCCTCGACAATCATAGGCAAAATAAGAGCTCCGGCGAATGGCCAGCCCACAACTGCCCCGAGACCGAACCACATAATCCCCTGGGCCGTTTTGGGTCCATTCTTATAGTCCAAGAAGGCAGCTAGGCCCAGCATAGATGTGTACATGGTGAATGAGGACGGCAAGAAGGAAGTTGCTGCATGGAACATGCCGGGGCTGAATATGGAGACCATCAGGAAGATCAGACCGATGCGAGGGTTGAGGGCTCGACAGATGGCAGAGTATAATCGGGTCTGGCATGCGGCACAGAGTAGGGCGAGGAAGATTCGGATAACATAGAACTCAGCAGACTTTGTGCTGACGAAAGGAGATGCCAGCTTGCCCACAAAAGCGTGAAGTGACACGTAGAGCCAGCTTCGAATTGAGTACACCGGCGAGTACTCCCATGTTTGAAGGCCATATCCGTGTTGGAGGTAATGGGTCGGCTCCCAGAAGTTAAAGACCTCATCGCAGTCTTGAATCGGAGCGAATAAAGCCGCTAGGATATTGACAACAAGGCATAGATATAGCGTGACATTCAAAGGCAGGTAGAACGGTGGAGGTCTAGGAGAGAGCAGTGTTAGCTAGATATACCATGCGCCAATTCCCCTTGACCATCACATACCGGGCCTTTGTGCGAGGCGTTGGACCCGAAGAAGAACTATTAGGTCCAGCCATTATGTTCCCCTATGTGCCACCACAGTTGCGCGTAATGTTGAGGCTCGAAGGTCCATATGGTCCCAGCAGGGTATTGGGAAGGTAGGGTGGGAGTCCACTTGGCAGGCGATAACGCGCGATAACAAAAACTCCGGCGACCGCAACGGCAACTTTGGCACTTCCGAAAAAAAAGTTACTGCCGACTTCTTGCGCTTCCTTCTTCTTGACACAAGCTTTATTATTTTATTTTGACGATAGTTCCTTGATTTCATACAGGGACTCATCAAGATGAGTGATCAGCAGATGTACTCAACTGGGTCTGAACTGCCTAGTGAAGGCCCTCCACTTAAGAAACCCTGCATGCTTGATACGCCACCCGTCGCAACAACTCCAGACGATGGTAGCGATTTCTACAATACACCCTTGCCTGCGGAGACTCCGGTGCCGAGTACGATGACCGATGCCTCCACACCTGCCACTGAAGCCATTCCTCCTGTACAACAAGTTCCAGCGATCCCGGGACTGGGCCTGATCAGCAACCCCAGCGACCAGCAAACCCCGCCAACTCAGCAAGTCAGGACCGAGGAAGAGCCGCAAATTCCTGCTGTGAAGTTGGAGAAGGATGAACCGATTTCCAAGTCCGAGGGCAACAACACAGCGACCAAGGAAGAGTCTGTGGATACCGCAGTCAATCAGGCCGCCGGCGATGAAGCACCCGCAACCACTGGGGAGGCTATGGAGGTGGACCAAAAACCCGAGCAAAGCAACCTGGATGCCAGCAGTGGATTGATCGACAATACCATAAAAGAGGAGAAAGAGGAGGAAGAACACCCTGAGTGGGAGGTCGATTCATCTCCATACGAGTCTTCCTCTGACAGCTCGTCCGACTCAGACGACAGCAGCGAGGACGAAGACTACCCAATTCTCACCCCCGAAGAGCAGGCCCGGATTTTGATGCAGGCTGAAGCTGGCTCTGACGATGAAGGAGAAGGCAAGGGCAAGTCGGGAGGATACATTCGTTCTACCAACGAGGTTGTGGAGGATGTGCTGCCAATCCCCGATATTACGATCACACCCGAAATGCCCATTGTACTACTGGGGAATCTCAAAACTCTCATCGAGAATGCCGCTCTTATCGAAGCCAGCACTTCAGGAGAGTATCAAGTCCTGGAGTCGGGCTCATTGCTTTGCTCAGAAGATCGCAAGGTTCTCGGTGTTGTTGCCGAAACCCTCGGCAGAGTCGAGAACCCCTTGTACACTGTCATGTACGCAACTGCCGCCGAGCCTACAGAGCGAGGTCTTTCTAAGGATATGACTGTTTACTATGTTCCGGCCCACTCGACATTTGTCTTCACACAGCCCCTAAAGGGTCTGAAGGGAAGCGATGCGTCTAACTTCCACGACGAGGAGATCGCAGTTGAAGAGATGGAATTCTCCGACGACGAAGCAGAGGCTGACTACAAGAAGAGACTGAAGCAGAAGCGCCAGGAAAGAAAGGATGCTAGGGATGGTGGCGGTGGACGTGGAAAGAAAGGACCGGCAGGTCCCTCCAAGTTAAGCCACACCGAACTTAACTATGACGATGCGGGGGGGCGAAGATGGTTACACACCCCTTGCCCGACCTAAGAATTACCACGAAATGATGGGAGCTCGAGAGGCACCAGTTGAGGGCACCGAGCGAGCATCCGGATTCCGTGGAGGTAGAGGTCGCGGACGGGGCTCTGACCGCGGACGAGGTGGTCGTGGACGAGGCAATGGAGGCCGAGGAGGAGGAGGAGGCTCGTACGAGCGTGATCAGGACCGTCGTCCTCAGAACCAACAAGGAAACAGTTCGCAGTTTGCATCTGCAGCACCTCAACACCAGCCTACTGGATATGGCCAACCGGCATATCCTCAGCAGCAACAGCAGCAACAGCAGCAACAGCAGCCGCAGCCCGCCTTTGGAATGCCCCAGGCTTTCGCTCCGTACCAGCAGTATGCGCCCCAACAGCAAGCACAGCTTCCTCAAGGCGCAGCTCCAGGACAGTTTCCTTTCCAATTCCCCTTCCAACAACCTTTTGCCCAGCCGAATCCTTTCCAATCTATCCCTCCTGGTGCGCATATCAATCCTCTTTTCTTGGCGGCATTGCAACAACAGCAACAATACCAGCAACCCCAGCAGCAGCAATATCAGCAACCCCAGCAGCAGCAATATCAACAGCCGCAGCAGGGCCAACAAGCTGCCCCACAGGGACAACAAAACCCTGCAATGAACTTTGACCAAGTCAAAGCTCAGTTGGATCTTCTACGGAATCTGAGCAACAACCAAGGGCCACCTCCCTCTTGATTTGGGTTTTCTTCTAGCTTCTTGGCATGATCTCAGTACTCAACCATTTGCATTAGGATCGGGGTTAATGTGGTTTTGCATATGGGTTCTATTTAAAAAAGTTCATGATTTGGTTCGGATATCTTTTAGCTCGCTTGTACGTTGTATGGATGATAGAATACATATTTGCTGCATGGAAGGCACACAGCTGATGAGATAATAATACTAGTATGATCGATTGGTATCGCTCGTTGTTAGCAAAGGCAGGTCAGATCAGTCGATTCTGCCAAAAATAGGACCAAAGGCTGAAATGCCTTAAAACTCAGCAGGCTTGGCGCTCTTCGCCAACACCCAGAAGTTCTCCATCTTTGCACGAGCCAGAACCTCCTTGGCTGCAGAGTCGGACTCGCAGGGTCTGGCACCCAGCCACTTTCTAAAAACTCGGGTCTTCGCCTGTCCTTCCCATAGAAGCGTGCACGTATTGTCACGGAAGTCCCGTAGCTCTCCCTTATCATCCTCTGTAGACCACCATATTGGTTGTCCCTCGCTCTTTTCAGAAGTAGTCGGACCGGGATTATCGGTCCAGTCGATTCGATTAAGCATGAGCTTGCGGTAATTGTTGATGGAGTGTTTTCCACCCTCGACGATAACCAAATTGACCTTAGGATGAGTGACGCAGACACCAGTCAAAGCATTTTGTTCTGCGTTCTTATTGATCTTAAAGCGGTTCCGGCCACTGGCGAGGTTGTCGATTCTGTAGACAGAAATATAGATACCCAGTTGGGCATCGGTCTCTTGCTGGGCCGCAAGCTTCTCGCGCCGTTGGTCTTTGGTCAACTTGCGATTTTCGTTCATGGTCTCGTGGTCCTCACGACGCTCGGTGATTTCCTTGTTCACGCGCGCTTCAACAGCCGTGGGGTCTTTGACGGCTTGTTCACCGAGAACCCGCATCAAATTAGACTTCTTGACCTTAGGAGCCGGCGCGGGCTCAAGACCCAGTCGGATCTTTGCTTGCTGTTCTTTCAGATCTGCCATGCGTCGCTGCCGGCGAATCTTCGCTTGCTCTTTGTGTGTAAGGAACATGGGTTTCTGCGCCGGTTGGTGCTTTTCCTGTGGTGGCTCAAGGAGCACAGGGTGTTGAATATAGCGTGTGATGATCGTGTCGGGAGTGTCCACCTTGACATTTGCTGGATCCTCGATGGCAGAATAATCGCCCCCACCGACCAAGCCCTCGTCCCACCATTCAATAGCAGGTGGTGCAGGTACGAGATATGATTTTTCGACATCCATATCTTCGTCAATACCGGCTTGTCGGGCCTTCTCCGCAATCCTCTTCTTCATAGCCTCCAATTGTGCCTGTCGTCGAAGAGCCGCAGCTTGTTGGATATATTTGCCCTTCTCATTGAAGATCAACTGCCGGGAATGGCGTGGTTTGGCAACGGTAGCCTTCGGGTCGAGACTGGGATCGAAGTATGGGTTATTCTTGATCTCCTCAATTGAAGGACCAGATAGATCCAGTCGAGCTTTGTTGCCGCGCTGGAAAGCAGATCCTGGTGTATCTCGCCGGTTGCCCCCTTTACCCTTTCCTCCACGGAAGTCTGGCGTCTTATCGGAAAGCAGTGCTGGATGGAGACCGACATCTAGACCACCACGAGCTTTGGACAGGCCATCGTCATCGAATGCCGGAGCGTGTGAAGGTACCGGCGCACTCGGTCGTTGTTGAGAAGGTGCATTGGCTCTGCTGGTCGCGGCGGCCACCCTGGCTTTCATCTGTTCTAACTTCGACATTGCGGCACTTGGCGCGGTCGAGCCTGGCGCGGGACTTGATCCTGCAGGAGGCGCTGGTGGTGTCGCGCCGCCGCGGGCTGCTGCTAGACGTGCGCGCACAGCTTCAGCCTTGGCTCTTGCTTCCGCTACCATCTTCTCGATATCCATCTTGGGTGCCGCAGGCGCCCCCTGACCTGGGGCTGGGGATCCATTGTTTGAGCGGGTCCTTTTTTGAGAATTATGATCGTCCTCTGCGGGATGAGGTCGCTTCAGCGCATTACCTGAGTCCGCCATGGTGATGATAAAGGTAAAGGGAGATCACGCAGGGACCACGGGGACCATGGGGACCACGACCAGTAGGAGGGAAAGTCGAAAGTCGAAAGTTGAAAGGTGGAACTGTGAAACTGTGAGAAAGGCAGAGCTGCATCTGCGTGGATCCCCCCCGGAGTAGGCGGTCAAGGCGGAAGATGGCAGAAAAAGTTGCTCCACGCCTGCGAGCAACTTTTTTCAATTTGTTCCGCATTGGAGACTCTTCGAGGCCCTTTGATAATCGCATAGCGTTTTCTGTTGCTCAAGGAGCCACAGGGCACAATGGCGACCTTCGCACGCCCAGTCTCCTCCAATATCGCCGGAGTAGACTTTACCGTTTACTCCGACGAGGAGATCAAAAAGCTCTCGGTGAAAAGAATTCAGAATACTCCGACTTTGGACTCTTTTAACAACCCGGTTCCTGGCGGTCTTTATGACCCTGCTATGGGCGCATGGGGTGACCATGTGTAAGCTCCTCCTCTCAATTGTTCTTCTATCTTCTATCGATCAAGTTTTTTGGGCTAACTGACCACCGATTTTCCGTCGATTAGCTGTACTACATGTCGCTTGAACTCTTGGTCTTGCACTGGCCACGCCGGCCACATTGAGCTCCCAGTTCCCGTTTACAATGTCACTTTCTTCGATCATATCTACCGCTTGATTCGCGCCCAGTGTGTGTACTGTCATCGGTTGCAAATGTCCCGCTCACTTGTCAACCTGTATGTCTGCAAACTGCGCCTCCTCCAATACGGCTTGACCGGAGAAGTCGCCAAGGTGGAAGAGATTGGATCCGCCAAAGGTGCCGCTTCCAAGGCTCAGACACAGAAGGGCGATGGCTCAGACTCTGAAGAAGAGGACGATGAGTCCATCATGGAAAAGCGCACTGCCTACGTCACCCGCTGCATCAAGGAAGCCAAGAAAGACGGACGATTGGATGGAGTAATGACCGGCGCAAAGAACCCCATCGCTGCTGAGAATAGGCGAGAGCTTGTGAAGCAATTCTTGAAGGATATTAACGGCAATAAGAAATGTAACAACTGCAGTGGGTACGTTACTTTTGGAATACCTTTCTCTCAATAGAGTTTGCTCTAAGCTAACATTGTCGTTCAGTATCACACCCTCCTACCGAAAGGATCGCTACAACAAGATCTTCCGAAAGGGCTTGACCGAAAAGTCGAAGCTGGCCATGTTGCACGGTGGATTCCAGGCTCCCAACAGCTTGGTCCTTCTTGACCAGGAAAAGAAGTCTGCTTCGAAAGAAGGCGGCGAAACTTCTGTGTCCGAGGTTCACGGTGCCGAGGAAGAGATCCGCCGCGGTGCTGCTGTCACGAAGACGGCGACGGCTGGGGAGTCTGGCCAGGAGTTCGTGACTTCATCTGAAGCCTACAGTGCTATGCAACTTCTGTTCCAAAAGGATAGCGAGGTTCTTCAGCTCGTCTATAATTCTCGGCCGGCTCCGAAGGGTGTCAAGGTTGTCTCTGCTGACATGTTCTTCATTAAGAGCATCATGGTTCCCCCGAACAAGTATCGCCCCGCTGCCCCTCAAGGCCCCGGCGAGATCATGGAGGCTATGCAGAATACCCCCTTCAACAATATTCTCAAGCAGTGCGATCTCATTAACCAGATTTCCAAGGAGATTCAAAATGAGGACGAGAAGGCTCTTTCTCGCGTGCGCAACTACGGCGACCTTCTCCAAGCTATCGTTACGCTTCAAGACCAAGTCAACGGTCTCATTGATCGAGAGCGTACTTCCGTGACTGGCTCTGCCATCGCGTCTCTGCCAAACGGTATCAAGCAAATTTTGGAAAAGAAGGAGGGTTTGTTCCGAAAGAACATGATGGGAAAGCGTGTCAATTTCGCTGCTCGTTCCGTCATTTCTCCTGATCCCAATCTTGAAACAAATGAGATCGGTGTGCCCATGGTGTTTGCTAAGAAGCTGACCTTCCCTGAGCCTGTTACCAACCACAACTTCTGGGAGATGAAAGAGGCTGTGATCAATGGCCCTGACAAATACCCCGGTGCTTCCGCGATCGAGAATGAAAACGGTCAAGTCGTCAACTTGAAGTTCAAGAGTCTTGACGAACGTACTGCTCTTGCAAACCAACTGCTTGCCCCGTCGAACTGGCGTCTCAAGGGCTCGCGAAACAAGAAGGTCTACCGCCATCTTACTAATGGAGATATGGTTCTGCTGAACAGACAGCCGACTCTGCACAAGCCCAGGTTTGTGGACTTTTTGATTTCTATCTAATTCCCTAGCTAACCTCTTCACAGTATGATGGGTCACAAGGCTCGTGTTCTCCCTAATGAACGGACCATTCGCATGCACTACGCCAACTGTAACACCTACAATGCCGATTTCGATGGTGACGAGATGAATATGCACTTTCCCCAAAACGAGCTCGCTCAGGCCGAGGCCAGAACATTGGCAGACGCCGATCACCAGTATCTGGTCGCCACCTCTGGAAAGCCGCTGAGAGGTCTGATCCAGGATCATATTTCGATGGCTGTCTGGTTTACGTGCCGTGATAGTTTCTTCGACAAGGAAGATTACGACCAATTGCTCTACAACTGTATTCGTCCCGAACATTCTCATATCCAAGGCGACCGCATCCAAACAGTTGAGCCCGCTTTCCTCAAGCCCAAGCCGATGTGGACTGGTAAGCAGATCGTCACGACGATTCTCAAGAATATCAAGCCTGCGGATCGTGCCGGACTCACCCTCAAGGGCAAGTCTTCCACCCCTGGTGATCGCTGGGGCAAGGACAATGAAGAAGGCACCGTCATTTTCAAGGACGGAGAGTATCTGTGCGGTATCCTTGATAAGAAGCAACTTGGTCCGACTGCTGGAGGTCTTGTCGACGCTGTTCACGAGATCTACGGCCACATTGTTGCTGGAAAGCTGCTCAGTATTCTTGGACGTCTGCTTACTCGTTTCCTGAACATGCGGGCGTTCACTTGTGGTATTGATGATCTTCGATTGACCAAGGAGGGTGATCGCGCACGCAAGGAGAAGCTGAAGACTGCCCCCGAAATGGGTCGGGAGGTTGCTCTGAAGTATGTTACTCTGGACCAGGCGAACGTTCCTGATCAGGATGCCGAGTTGAACAGGCGACTGGAGGATGTTCTCCGCGATGACGATAAGCAAGGTGGACTGGATAGCGTTTCCAACGCCCGATCTGCCAAGCTGTCCTCAGAAATCACCGCAGCCTGTTTGCCAGGCGGTCTTGCCAAGCCTTTCCCCTGGAACCAAATGCAGTCGATGACCATCACCGGAGCTAAGGGTTCGGGCGTTAACGCCAACCTGATTTCTTGTAACCTGGGTCAACAGGTTTTGGAAGGTCGTCGTGTCCCTGTTATGATCAGTGGAAAAACTCTTCCATCTTTCCGAGCCTTTGAGACTCATCCCATGGCTGGTGGTTACGTCTCTGGTCGTTTCTTGACTGGTATCAAGCCTCAAGAGTACTATTTCCACGCCATGGCCGGTCGTGAGGGTCTTATCGATACCGCCGTCAAGACTTCCCGTTCCGGTTACCTGCAACGTTGCTTGATTAAGGGTATGGAGGGCTTGAAGGCTGAGTACGATTCTTCCGTTCGTGAGGCTTCGGATGGCTCGATCGTCCAATTCCTGTACGGAGAGGATGGTCTTGATATCACGAAGCAAGTCCACCTTAATGATTTCGGATTCCTCGCCCAGAATCATGTCTCCATTTCGAAGCAAGTTCAGGCCGATGACTTCCATAGCCTTTCCAAGGAAGACGTTACCGCCTACAAGGATTCGATGAAGAAGGCCCGCAAGACCGGGAATCTTGATTCTATGGATCCCATTCTGTCTCACTATCACCCCGGTGGTAACTTGGGTAGTACCTCTGAGGCTTTCGCCCAAGCACTCAAGAAGGTAGGCACTTTCTTCCCTCTCAATTGTCGCTTTCATATGACTTTCTGACTAACACATTTTTACAGTACACCGATGATAATCCGGACGGCCTTTTCAAGGATAAGAAGAAGGACATTGCGGGTACCGTTGGCAAGAAGACCTTTGATGTTCTGATGAACATGAAGTACATGAAGTCCACCATCGACCCCGGTGAGGCTGTTGGTGTCATGGCCGGTCAGTCCGTCGGTGAACCCTCGACACAGATGACCCTAAACACTTTCCATTTGGCTGGTCACTCCGCAAAGAACGTGACACTGGGTATTCCTCGACTGCGTGAAATTGTCATGACAGCAAGTGCTAACATCATGACCCCTACCATGACCATGCTGTTGAACGAGGAGATAAGCAAGGAAGATTCGGAGAAGTTTGCCAAGGCCATCAGTAAGCTCAGCGTCGCCGAGGTCGTTGACAAAGTGCAAGTTAAGGAGCGAATCGGTTCTGGCGTGGGTTACGCCAAGGCCAAGATCTATGACATTGAGCTCACCTTCTTCCCGGCCGAGGAATACTGCAAGGAGTATGCTATCCAAACCAAGGACGTGCAGAACGGCTTGCAAGCCAAGTTCATTCCTCGCCTGATCAAGCTCACCAGGGCTGAGCTGAAGAAGCGTAATGAGGACAAGACTGGTCAGAAGGCTTCCACCTCCCAACCTGAGATTGGTGTTTCCGTTGGCCGAGTTCCCGAGGGTCCCAGTGGACCGGATGGCGAGGCTCAACCAGGCGATGACGACGACGAGGACGACGAGGATGATGCCAAGCGCGCCAGCGGAAACTCGAACAAGAGTAACCAGATCTCGTATGAAGCACCCGATGATGACGAGCAGGACATCATGAACCGTCAAGACACCCCCGATGAAGATGATGAGACAGAGAACCAAACCCGCACCACTGGTGACGTCGACATGGATAGCGATTCGGACGAGGACTCGGACGACGACAGCAACACGCGCGAGGACGACGTCAAGGGCAAGTTCGTTGAGGTTACCAAGTTCAAGTTCGACCCTAAGAAGGGTGGCTCTTGCACTATCCAACTGCAATACGATATCGAGACCCCTAAGCTTCTGCTCCTACCCCTCGTCGAGCAGGCTTGCCACAACGCCGTGATCCAGTCTATTCCCAACCTGGGCAACTGTGTCTTCGTTGAGGCCGACGACATCAAGGGCGACCCTGCCAACATCCTCACCGATGGTGTGAACTTGCTCGCCATGCGCGACTACCAAGACATCATCAAACCTCACTCGCTCTACTGTAACTCCATCCACGACATGCTGAACCTTTACGGTGTTGAGGCCGCCCGTGCCACCATCATCCGCGAAATGGACGCCGTTTTCAAGGGTCACAGTATCTCCGTCGACAACCGCCATCTGAACTTGATTGGTGATGTGATGACTCAGTCCGGTGGCTTCAAGGCCTTCAGCCGTAATGGCCTGGTCAAGGACTCCACCTCGCCCTTCTCTCGGATGTCTTTCGAAACTACTGTTGGTGCTCTGAAGGATGCCGTTCTCGAAAGAGATTGGGACGATCTCAAGGGCCCGAGTAGTAGAATTGTCGTCGGTCGTGCCGGTACTGTTGGTACTGGTGCCTTCGATGTTCTCGCCCCTGTAGCATAGTCGCCTTGTTGCCCCGGAGTTACTTTTTATCATCATGGTTCCCTTGTCTCCTATTAGATATGTATTCCGATTTTGCGATTTTACAGTTCGTTTTTGCGTTTTCTTTTCCTTTGCTATCTATCTTGATGTGTTGATGATATGGAGTTTTCTGTCCAGCGGAACACAAAAGTGCCATTCCCTGTTCATATAGCATTTAAGTCAAAATAAAAACTACTTATTAATTTGTGGACAAATCGTAGTATGTTTTAATTTCAACTAGCAAGTCGAGGTGGGAAGTCAAGGCCGGAAGCTACCACCAGACTACCGAGACCTTCATAAGATAGTGAAATAGATCGAAATTTAGCATCATGTCATAATAGTGCTTTTGAGTCATTCCCAACGTCTATCATCTATTTACTTCACACGTTCAAACATATACAAAGTTGTTGCGGCACAATGGGCAAGTGCTCTGGTTGCTGCTCTTGAACCAACGGAACAAGCAGACCGAATGAAAAGTGTTCTTGCAGGTAGCGCAACGCTTGTTGGGGGTCTGCATATCGGTTGAAATGACCGAATAACAGATAGCACACTCGCTTTGACCCTTCAGAGCACCCTGCACATTCCGCCGGAAAGCCAGCAGGCCATCAACCAGATTACCATTGGCAAACATAATGACTCCCTGGATGGTGAGCAGCCAGCTCTTCCATTTCTTCTCGTCGACAAGAACTCGGCTGCGCCCGACCACGATTGCTGGATGCAACGGGTATGCCGGAGGAAGGGAGATTGAGATGGAAACGGGAGGAGATTCCTCATCTACTGGGATGCTGGCGATGATCTCGGCTGTCTTGGGGGATATCTTAACAGTCAAAGCACGCTCCTCATTCGGATCTTGAGTGGCAGCCCAGTCTTCTACGCCCTTCATTGAGTCTCCAGCTACAACAGGCGAGATCTAGTCACGAAGTCAGCGATTGTTACTTTTGGTAGCGAGTCGGTTTCTAGCTTGTTAAAACTCACGTATCTTTCCGTCCATCCTTCTACCGGACCCTTGACACGTTTCTTGGTATCAATCCACCAGTTCTTAGTCATGTTGGCAAGATGTCTGAGACAAAGGTAGTAGAGGTGCACCAGGAGCCACTGAGTCTCCTTCTCCGCATTCTCGGACTCATCAGGCTGGAACGATTGTATATCGAACTTGGTCGGGTCGATAATTTTGCCATGCGATTTTTGAAGGAAATCAAACATGAATTCCAATAATGGAATTAGGACGTTGTTTTCCTTGATGTTTGCGGCATAGTATTCTTGGACCGGGAGCGACTTTGAGAATATTAGCAGAGTTCGTGGTCAAAGGCGAATTGAGAACTTACAGCATTGGAGAAATGATCGAAGATCACCTTCCAGCTTAGGAGATACGCCCTCAAACTAGTCCACATCTTGTCGTCACCATAGGACATGGTCACCATTTGCATGGTGGGTGTTTCGAGTAGAAGAGACACAAGCTCATCAGGCAGGCTGACTGCGGACTTAGACAAAGCCACGTCGAAGGATACTTGCTCTTGAGAGTGTGGGATATAACGGTGGAGGAGGGTATAAGCGGTGCGCTGTACAGCACGACTATGAGCAGTCAGAAGAGAAAAGACCTCGCTGACATCATCCAACTTTTCAATAGGAATGAAGTTGATCAAGCGTCGCAGAAGATCAACAGCGACGTCCCGTGGTTGATGATAGGTAGTTGAAGCGTCTGCTACAAGTCAGCCGCGTGCACAGGCTGAGAAGAAATAGACAAAGTCAGGGGAGGTATCCTTACCGAACTTCCCGACAGAAGAAGCCAACTCATTGAAAAGTCCAACCCGTCGTTCAAGCCAGACATCTTGAAGATCATCGTTGCTTTCACCATCTGTCATAGACTTTAGACTAGAGAACAGTCTGAAGGCCGCTACTAGCAGCGGAAGGCCCTCTTCGCCCCCACTGATATCCTTGAGCACGATGCTCAGAATGGCCATACTGTCTTCCCAGTGCGACCCGTAGATCTCAGAAAGAGCTGGAAGCACAAATGATAATGTTTTGATAATCTCAGCGCTCAGACCAAGAGGTTGCAGTCCGGACTGAAGACATTCAATCAGCGGCTTCGTGAGAAAGACGAGTCGTTGCGTGGGGATTGTTGAAACAACGTTCTCCTCCCCAGATAGGAGGATATTAAGCAGTGCCAGTTTGCGGAGTCCTAATATTTGTTAATATGGTACCACAAATCATGAGTTGTCTAGAAACTTACCATCTGGAGAAGAACTTTGCGGTTTCAACCCAGAGGAATCAGCGACTAGTTCGTTGCAGATTCGATTTCCGATAGGATTGGACAAGATAGAGCTTCGCAGTACAATGAACCAGGAAGCCGACCGAATGGCATTAGCGGTTCGAGCACTTCTGCAAATTGTCGCAACACCATCGGCTGACTTGGATGCAGCCAGTGTTTCGACGGAGCCCATGATCTTGACAAAAGCCTCTCCAATCCGGTAGTCAAGGGGAGAGGTTCCCCCCCAGTCCCTCGAGTTTGCTTTCCCAGAAGGAGAGCAGAGACGAGGAAACCGTTGATTGAGGCGGGTATCCGGTATTCTCCTCAGCATGAACCCAGTCGCTGATTACTCTGCGTCCCTTGAAGACAATTTCAACATAGTCATCGCGCTGATCTGCCAGCTCCAGACCCAAGATTCCATTGGAGTTTTCGATACTCAGATCGTCATCAATCAGCTGCACGGCCAATGGGATGAAATAAAAGAGGGTTTCAAGGTCATCTTTGTCCATGTGTTCATTCAGGTGTGCTGAGGACAAAATCCTGATGGCGAAACTGGCGAGCCGGAACGCGGCGGAACTATGAGACGAGTCTCGCGCGATACTGAGCCTTAAATCCTTGAATGAATCAGACAGATCGTTCTGGATCAAATGGACAGCGCCAGCCAGTGGACTAGTAATTGCGGTAGAGGGACGAGGAGGTAGGTGGAGGAATGGAGCCATAGCCGTTTCCCAAGTAGACGCAGAGGGTAGGATGTTTTTGAGACTGTATGTCGCTTCTTCTTTCGTCCCCAGGCCAGGAAGCAGCTCCTCAGCGATAGCAACGAGGGAATCAATTCTGTTTCCAAGTTAGTACAGAAGTTCGAAAAGGAGTTGGGGTTTTACCCACGTTAGAGATTCTTCGCTCGCGTGAGAGAAGCCATTTTGGAGGATCTCAATCTTAGACTTGGTGCTTGTATCACCAACAACGGTTTCCTTAAAATTCGTCATTAAAGACTCAGCCAGGACGGCCACCTCCTCCGAAGGAGACTCAGTGAGATACAACAGTTTTCCTGTTAACTTGGAGCCATTAGATCCACCCTGGAATTCCCGCACAGCAGCGGGAACGGTCTTTCCAAGGTGAGAGAGCCCGTGGAGGGCGTCGAAGACCCTATCCTCCGTAGACAGTGACTGAATAATTGACATGAAGACTTGATCCATCAATGCTTCCCAAGAAGTTTGATTCCGGAGAACTGCAGTTACAATCGGCCAGTGTGTAGTACTGCCTCTGCAAGCTTTATCTAAAGCTAGCATCACGAGCGAAGAAAGCTTAGCTTGATATTCGACTTCATTGAAATCGATCGTCGATAGAAGGCTTTGAAGGACATGGGCATTCGATTGTTCGGGGTCCAGTTCCAGAGCTCGCTCGACAACAACTTCAAAACAAGAAGAGAATCCTTCCCATTGCCGACATGCCAAAATGATTGTAATCAGGCGATCGCCGGACGGCGAGAACAGAAGCTCGGGCGCATCCGTCTTGAGGAAGTTTAGAAGTTCCCGGGACTGTTTTGCGATAGAAGGCACTCTGCGAACGCACTCTTCTACAACCCCAGCGGCACCATAAGGTTTTCCATTTCGAGACCGTAGAACCTGCAGACAGTTGTCCAGAAGGGACATATTGGCCTTTTCAAAAATCTTCTTAAGCCGAGACGCCTCTATGGCTCGCGAGATGACTGAAGGTTCCAATATAAAAAGGCGCTTTGACTGTTCGCAGATCGAATCTTGAGATGTGCGGAAGTCCTTCGACTGCTCTGGAGATGACAGCTTAACTGCTTCAATAAGCCCATTAGACAGGTTTGACCATAATAGCTCTATTTCTTGATATTGGTCGTGAGCAACAAGAGCCGAGAGATAGTCGATACAAATATGTTCGGTGGACTGGACGGGGAGCGACCACTGGGTCAATTCGGGATCGGGTCGCACATAATGTGTCACCAAGGGGGAAAGTCGTTTTTGAATGAGTTCAGGACGTTGCTCCACTGGCAAGAGACTCGCAAACCAGAGACTAATCTCAATGTAGGATTTCCATCCAGTGTAAAGATTTTGGCGGGGCTCTTCCCTTGAGTTGAGGCCTTCTTGGAAAGCTTCTGTTAGAGCAATGACACTCGAGATTTTGATTTTCTTAACAGTAGATGTTTTGTCGGCTCCTGCAAGGACCTCCTGGGGGAGCTTTCGGAGTAGCTCGTCAAGATTTGACCAGAATTTCCCAGTGCTACCTTGAGACCCTTTCTGGATATATTGACGTAGCCTCTTTGAGGACGAAGTCTTTCCTGTATAGTCCTCTGTCCACGCCTGGGGTCTTAACGAGGTCAACAGAAGAAGGGTCTCGGATAGTTCGGAAGCTGAGCCGAGCTGTGAGATAGATAAGGATTTCCCCACGATGGCTGAACTGAGGAGCTTCCAATCCATCCAGCCGGGCTGTCTGGATACCGCAGTTCGCAAGAGAATGTATACGGACCGGCGAACGAATGGGTCATCATAGCTACAGAACCCCCATAAATCCTTGCTACTAAGCAAAGTTTCGATTGCTGAGAGGTTCTTTTGAAGATCCTCGTCTGCCGAGTCACCTGTTCAAATGTGAGATTTGGGTATGTCGTGGGAGGAAGAGGGGGGTACGGAACGACGATACCTAAAATGCGATTGAAAAGAAGCAGTCCAGCTCCAACTACCCGTGCGTGTTTCGCTTCTGCGTCATCCCGCTTGACAGTCCTCTCATCACTTAGGGTCAGGGGTGACTGATGGAGCAGAACGTCATCTACGAAATCCAGAATGGAACTTTGGTAGATCTTCCAAACATTGTTTCGTTTATCTTGGGTCGAGAAGACACTGATAAATGATTCCAGTGCGGCACGGTGAACTGGCTTGTCATTATCGTAGAGACCAGCTAGCCAAGCACCAATAACCTTGGACAAATGAGGTGCAATTCTCTTTCCCACAAGACCAGAGATGGAGCCCTGAAGTGTATGAGATATTTGTCGGACTCGTCGAGAGAGATCAATCGACAACCTCGGGTATATTTTAACCTGGACTCGGTTATTATTTCGTGCTGTGATGTATATACCGGAATTTCACATACCCATGCTTCTAAAAAGCCATCATCAAGAGTCCCTTTCTTCGAATCCACGGAGAAGACATGTTCTCTGAGATCTTCCAAAGCCTTAGTCCGTGTAATATCATCTTTTTTCAATAAATTCTTGAAAGAAATGACTAGTGTCTGCTCGGAGATACGAGACAGATCTGGCGGTTCGGCGATGTATGTGAGAGCCGACGGCTCCCGTCCATCACTCCCAAAATTGCCCGAGAAACCTCCAAAGGACCCGAAGGCGCCCGCAGCAGCGCGACTGCTGGAGGCCTGCGATTTGAACTTTTTGCTCATGTGGGGTATGAGGTCAGCGGGAATGGTGGGGGAGACTCGAGATAGCACCAGTGCGACACCCGCAAAATGGCAATTGACCCTGGAATGACTCGGGAGGGATTTGAAAGACAATTCACACCAAAAGCCAAGGGGATATTGGAGTTCACAATCGAAGTTGAAGAACAAAAGAAAGCGAACTTGTGAAGTATGGGTTAAGCCGATTGGAATATCCCGCGGGCGGCCACCCGATTGGTAAGTCACATGATGATTGGTCATTGCTGTCCCAAACGGGAAATCATTCAGACCGGAGCTGCGGCCTGGACGAAGGTCATCCTTCTGATCTTTCTTCCTTTGGTGTGCGCGCAGCTTGGGAACATCCGCCAACATGAAGTTCTTCATTGAGTATTACCTTCCCCATTACACTCCGGCCATCGCCTCTTCCTCCCTTCCCTTCTAACTGGTGTTTCTTTCAATTAGTGATCTTCCGGTGCTGTTCCCGTACCCTCGCATCTACCCCGAACAATATGCCTACATGTGTGATCTCAAAAAGACCCTCGATGCCGGGGGTCACTGTGTGCTGGAGATGCCTTCGGGGACAGGAAAGACAGTCTCGCTTCTATCGTTGATTGTCGCCTACCAGCAGCATTATCCGGAACACAGGAAACTCATCTACTGCTCGCGAACCATGTCCGAGATCGAGAAAGCACTGGCAGAGTTGAGGGAGTTGATGAAACACAGAACCCAGGAACTCGGATATGAGGAAGAATTCCGCGCGCTTGGGTTGACTAGTCGAAAGAACCTGTGCCTGCATCCTTCCGTGAAGCGAGAGAAGAGTGGCACTGTCGTCGACGCGAGGTGCAGGAGTCTGACAGCTGGTTTTGTCAAGGAAAAGAAGGAGCGCGGCGAGGATGTGGATCTCTGCGTCTATCACGATGTATGTCCTGACCCCCTCTGCGATGCCCGTGGGGTTTATTCTAACAAGCGCAGAACCTCGATCTGCTCGAACCGCACAATCTTCTTCCGCCAGGCGTGTTCACCCTCGATGCTCTACTTAAGTATGGAGAAGAACACAAGCAATGCCCATACTTCTCTGCTCGGCGAATGGTATGTTTTCCATCGATGTCCTCATAACTTTGCTTTGGTGCTAATGCGACCATGTAGATGCCATGGTGCAACATCATCATCTACTCCTATCACTACTTGCTTGACCCCAAAATTGCCGAACGAGTTTCCAGAGAACTTTCGAAGGATTGCATTGTTGTTTTCGACGAGGCACACAATATCGACAACGTTTGTATCGAGTCACTCAGCCTCGATCTTAGCGAAGACTCCCTCCGCAAAGCCACCCGAGGTGCAAGCAATTTGGAACGCAAGATTGAAGAAATGAAGAGCACGGATGCCGAAAAACTGCAGAGTGAATATTCAAAGCTTGTCGAGGGGTTACAGCAGGCGGAACAGGCTCGGGAGGAGGACCAATTCATCTCGAACCCCGTATTGCCGGACGACTTGCTGAAGGAGGCAATACCGGGAAACATTCGCCGTGCGGAACATTTCATCTCCTTCTTGAAGAGATTCATCGAATATCTGAAAACCCGGATGAAAGTGACCCATACTATCTCAGAGACCCCCCCTTCCTTCCTCACACATTTAAAAGATCTCACCTACATCGAGCGCAAGCCTTTAAGATTCTGTGCTGAACGGTTGACCTCACTTGTGCGAACTCTGGAACTGGTAAATATCGAAGATTATCAACCACTCCAGGAAGTCGCAACATTTGCAACCCTAGTTGCGACCTATGACAAGGGGTTTGTTCTCATTCTCGAACCGTTCGAGTCCGAAGCCGCCACCGTTCCGAACCCCATCTTGCATTTCACCTGTTTGGATGCTGCTATTGCGATCAAGCCGGTCTTTGATCGTTTTAGCTCCGTTATCATCACCTCAGGGACCCTGTCGCCATTGGAAATGTACCCCAAAATGCTAGGGTTCACCGCCGTCATGCAAGAATCTTATAGTATGACACTGGCAAGGAGGTCTTTCCTACCCATGATCGTCACCCGTGGCTCCGATCAAGCTCAAGTCTCATCGTCCTTTGGTATTCGCAATGATCCAGGTGTGGTGCGCAACTATGGTACTCTGGTGACGGAGTTCGCTCGCGTTACCCCGGATGGCGTTGTAGTATTCTTCCCTTCCTATCTTTATATGGAGTCCATCATCAGTATGTGGCAGGGTATGGGTATTCTGGACCAGATCTGGAACTATAAGTTGATTCTAGTGGAGACGCCTGATGCACAAGAGTCTTCCCTCGCCCTGGAGACCTACCGAACAGCTTGTTGCAATGGTCGTGGCGCAATTTTGTTCTGTGTCGCACGAGGAAAGGTGTCTGAAGGTATTGATTTTGATCATCATTACGGTCGCGCAGTGCTGTGCATCGGCGTGCCATTCCAATACACCGAATCTCGCATTCTCAAAGCCCGTCTCGAATTCTTGCGAGAGAATTATCGCATCCGGGAGAACGACTTCTTGTCATTCGACGCTATGCGACACGCTGCTCAGTGCCTAGGTCGTGTACTGCGTGGAAAGGATGACTACGGAGTCATGGTGTTAGCAGACCGGCGATTCGAGCGGAAACGGCCCCAGCTTCCGAAATGGATTAACCAAGCCATGTTGGATAGTGAGACCAATCTCAGCACCGATATGGCCGTCTCTACTGCCAAGAGTTTCCTGCGCACCATGGCTCAGCCTTTTAAAGCCAAAGACCAGGAAGGAATTTCGACATGGAGTTTGGCTGATATTGAACGACATGAGGCGAAGCGCAAGACGGAAGAGGAGCGTCTCACGAGGGAGGAGCTCAACAATGGGAATCATAAGATGGATGGCTTCCGAACCTCCGCGGTTGAGGTCGTTGACGATGAGTTTGACGATGACATCGATCAAGATATGATGATGCTTGATGCGCAGTAGTTGGGTCGGATCTCTTTTACTTTCGTACTCATTTTCTTGGTATATACTGGCGGTTCGGGACTCGGTCTGGAAATCGGGGGCGTTTTATGAATCGGGCATGAAAAAACAACATAGCATGGAAGGTGTTTTGGACAAAAATTGTCGTTTCGTTACTGACCTCGGCAATAATTAGTAGAATTTCGGCACAACAGGTCTAAAGTCTCTCGCAGGTCTCAATTAAATAAAATCACAATCAAACGGTCAATATAATTATCAGAATGGATCCATTAGGTAGTGGTATTATAGGCGTGGGCAAAGTAGTAACAAAACTAGCTGTTATATACATAAGCACCGACCAGGATAGAGAAAGCCCCGATGATTCCAGCCCAACGGACGAGCCCACGCTGAACGTAATACTTGGCGGTTTCTTCAATCGCTTGGGAGTCGTTAAATTTTGGGAATGGAATATCATTAGGAACTTCCCTTCCAAGAACCTTACAAAGGGGCTCCCACCCGTCCTTGACATTAACGAAGAACAGACGATCCTCAGGAACGTTCTTCTTAAGCCAGGCAATATGGCGATTATACGTGTCCACGCCATGGTCATGGGGCTTGGTAAAGTAGAGTTTCTCCCATTGAACAGATAGGAGATCGGCATAACCTGGAAAGTGTCGCATTCCTGGAAGAGGGAGTAAAACGGCGCGAAGAAACCACATCAGAGCAAGACCCCGAATTTGGGCCAAACTCTTCGTCCACGCTTCCGGGTCTCGAACGGTGCAGATCACCCTCGCGTCGGGGTAGATCTCCAAAAGTTCAGGGACTAGCTGTGCAGCAGGTGCGTCGGTGACTGCACTATAACCATCCAATCGGTGTCGTAGCAGGTCTTTCATAGCTGTTCGGTCCTTGGGATCTCCATTGTTCCAGTATCGTAGGATTTTCATCCATGATTGGATCTCGATTGGTGATCCCATTGAGATTTGCGTTCCCCCATGGTAGGAGGGGCCGTCGAGAAGAATTTCTAGAGCGGCATTGAATGAGGATGTTCCGGTGCGTGGGAGGCCTGCTCCGACGACTTGGAGCTCAGTGCTTGGTTTGGGGACAGATACACTCTGGCCCATGGTGAAATATGCAATGAGATCGGTATGTACTAGGTGGAGGGAATAGACATGTCTTTGTTCCAAGTGTGTGAGATATACTAGATGACTCTGAGTCGGAGCCTTGGAAGATATAGACGATTCGGAAGATATACTCCGTACGTGATGCGTAGTAAAGTTTTAGCCCCCAAACTAGCCACGAGCCAAATGGGGCTCCATGCGGCGGCGGGTCGCACTTGGCTACCGTATTGAATGGCTAGCTTACTAGATGGTGAGATTACAACTGATAGATTGAACTTTCCCTCATTACGATAGGGCAGGCCACCTAAAATGATGATTCTTGGACTTGCTGGTAGCATTGTCTCCTTGGCCCCCTTGCATCTTGCGTCTTGTACCCAAGTACCAAGCGTCGAACAGTCTAACCGAAACCCATAGAAAGACAAATGCTTCTCCCATGCAGATTTGAGTACCTCAGTTACAGCTGCGGGGCTTGAGAGAATATGGCCAACGAAATCTGGGCAAATACCTTGGTAATACCAATCAAATTGAATGGAACACTCTGATATTCTCCCATACGTTTACCAATGGACGGTTAACGTGGGAAGTCTATTACAGGATAGACAAGGACGGAAAGAGTTACTATTCAAGATATCCTGGATTTTATTGACTGTAATATAGTGTTTCTGGCAGTCTGGTAATAGCTTCCATGAATTGTCGACATAATAGTGAAAATACTTCTTGTGAGATCCTCCGCAGGCAGGAAGTCGACCTGCGGCCGAGGAGCTTTTCTCGCAACAACTAAAACATAGTACAAAGATTCATTCACTCGAGTGAAACATATTTCAGGGAGACATCCCACAGCTTCTTGGCACCAACGGTATCAAGTGCATGCGGGCTATAGTAGCGCCTTGGGCGGGGTTCATGTAGCTGGCCATCAGCTTTGGGTCCTATCGGTTACAGTATTCTGATCGCCATATAGTTACCCTTTACAATCTACACTTCCATTAGGCCGGGAAAGAGGCCCTAGCATGTAATTAACACTCCAGATAAATTGCAATTTTAATACAATATCTATTTCTATTTCTATTTCTATTTCTATTTTATTCTGTTGTGATCAATAAGAATAAAGGAATTCGAGAGTATACTAGTAGTACATCCCTGGTAGTATCTTTCCGCGGGGTTCCCCACCGCGTCCGAGCTCCTCCCAAAGCTCCCCGAGCTTCCTCCACCTTCAACTCTCTTTTCCTTCTCTTCCCCCTCCTTCATGGCCGCCCCCCAGATCCCTAACCTCAATTCTCTTCGACGAGGCCGAGGTCGCGGTCGTGGAATCGGTCGTTCGACTGACAATGGCCCAGAGTCGCGCCCATCAGGCAAAGACCGCATCGTGCAGGGCACCGACAATGACGCCAGCGTTTCCAGATTGAGCGCCGTGGACTTGGGCTATCTTACAGACGCGTACGCGACAGCACTGACTCCACGGGGATCCGCGACAAGAAGGTTGCCAATTATTAACAGAGGTATGTCCAAGTGTCTCTGCGCTACCCAAAGAAGACAGCAGGCAAGATGGCGGGGCAAGGGAGAGAGAGGTGGGGGTTTGGTCCAAATAAACTCGATAGCTAACGCGCTTCTCCTCTCTTTCAGGAACATATGTTCGCACGACAGCAATCGACCAGCTTGTCACAAGCTTCCTAGGCCCCTATACACCCGAACAAACTCAAACGAAGCGTAAACAGATCATCTCGTTAGGAGCCGGCTCCGACACGCGAGTCTTTCGCATTCTCTCCTCGCGCCAACCCTCCGATCTCGTCTACCATGAAATCGATTTCGCCGTTAATACTACCTCAAAGATCCAGGCGATCCGATCAACGTCGCAATTACGACAGGCGCTAGGAATCGACACGCCTGATGCTGAAGTGTCTATCTCTGAAACGGGTGATGCGTTGCATTCTCCTTCATACCATATTCACCCGGTCGATCTACGTTCGCTTTCCGCGAACAGTGACCGTGACCTCTCCACCATACTCCCCGGTGTAGAGAGAGGACTGCCCACGCTGCTGGTATCCGAATGCTGTCTGATCTATCTCACCCCGAGCGAGGCAGAGCAAGTAGTCAAATTCTTCACCGAACATCTATTCCAATCCCAATCCCAACCCGCTACCCCGCTAGGTCTGGTCTTGTACGAACCCATTCGTCCCGACGATGCTTTTGGCCGAACGATGGTCTCGAATCTCGCGACGCGGGGCATCCAGCTCCAAACTTTGCACAAATATGCATCGCTGGAGGCGCAACGGTGCCGATTGAAGGAGCAAGGATTCGGGGACGGACAGGCCGGTGCAGATATTGAATTTATCTGGAAGAACTGGGTGCGTGAAGCGGAAAAGGAGCGGGTTTCTGGATTGGAAATGCTGGATGAGATGGAAGAATGGCAACTTCTTGCTCGTCATTATTGTATTGCTTGGGGGTGGAGAGATAGGAGCGATGCTTCGGTTTTTCAAGGCTGGACTACACTCAAGGCTCAGTCGGACAATTGATTCAATTAATGTTGAAATATCCTTCACCAGTACATTTGAAATGGAAATTATGAACATAAACAAAAGACCCTATGATATAGCATGACAGCACGAGGCCAAAATAAAGAGGCCAACACTTTCTATTTCTCCTTCTCCTTCTCCTTCTCTAGAGTCACTTCCAGAGCAGGGACTTCGACGCTAACAACCTTACCTTCAGCATTAAGAGTGAAGATGAACTCATCCAGCCCATGGCCGTTGTACTGGTACCTATCCACATGCATCCACGAAACACAAGTCGGGGTATCATTATCTGCCAATTCAGTCATATCTTGCAAAGCAGCACGGAACGACTGCTTTGAGCCAGCCTTATATTCCTCACTCAAACGGGTCGGGTACAAGCGAATACTAAGATCAGTCTCATGAGAGACACCGAGAAGCTTCGACAAAGTCTCGCGGTAATCTTGACCATTGCTCACAAACTCATCGATGTAAATTCCCCATCCTACTCTCTCCGTATAGTCAATGGAAAGAGACGAGTTAGAGCTACTAGCGCTGGCATACGCGCCACAGTAATTCTCAGCAGCCTGAGTAACTGCTGATTTGACCACGCCGTCTAGCGCTTCTTGCATGTAATCCGCGTGTGCGTTTAAATCGGCTGGTGATTCGGTATCTGCGGAGAGGATGGCATAGCCGACGCCCCAGTCCGGAACTAGGCCCATGTATGAGCTATACAGACTTTCTTGGTAGCCTTCGTTGCTGAGGAGGGTGTATACGTCGACCATTGGCGATGTCTTAGGGTAATCGCCCCCGCTGTAGATGACGAATGGGTATCCGATAGAATTGGCGGGATTCGCGGTGTGAGTAGCAGGCTTTAACCAGCGGTTGGTTTGAGAAGTAGTGAGAAGAGTAGAGTCCATGATAGCCTGGCCAACGCGGGCGAGGTTGTCTAGACTGCTAAACATGGAGGTCGATCTATAAATTTGTTCGAATGTGTTAGCTTATGGTGTTGACCTGGCTAGAGGAAATTTAATGAAACTCACGCTTCGGTTCCGGGGAGATGGGCCAGCCAGCCACTGGCTTTCTGATTGACGGGAATGACAGCAGTCTCGGTGTCCAGGGGGGCGAATATGGATGTTTCGTTCAGCTCGAGGGGGTCGAGGATCTGGTTCCTGAGGACACTCTTGAAACTATGACCAGTGCGTCGCTCGATTATGTACCCCAGAAGCTGGAAGGCCATGTTCGAATAAATGGGGGTTTGACCGGGATTGGCGATAGGAGCCTGCTTAGACAGCTGGCGGAGAAATTCTATATATATTAGCCACTGGAACCTTGGAAAGCATGCGGAGACTAAGATACATATAGTACTTTACCTTTTTGACTGCATTTTGAGTCAGAGCTGCAGCAAGGCCGGTCAAAATCCGAGTGCTCTGGGAGTCCAGCCTTGGAAATATCCGCTTCCGAGGTCAAGTCGTTAGAGCAATCTATACATAATGGGTTAACAGTCATCTCTATCTACAAAAAGAGAGATTTTCGAATAGAAACTCACAATCTCGGGGAATTCCGCCCATGTGACTGGCAAGCTGACCGACAGTAATGTCGCTCCACCTAGTCTGACGAATAGATACATGGGTGGATGAACCATTGGAGAGCTCAGGGAGGTACTTGGTGACGGGATCATTGAAGATACCATCTCCCAGAGTCCTGAGGAGAGACCAAACAGTAAAAATCTCAGTCAGGCCACCGATGCGATATATGCTGTCTTTTGTGACATTTCCGGGCTTATTCGGACCACTCTTATAATCAGGAGCAGTGTAGTGATACTGCCAATAGAAAGGCTCATCCTCGGCGGTTCCTTCATTGGTAGAGAACACTGCAATGCTAAAGGAGGTAGTGTTGATATTGACAGGTCCATTTTCGCCGTCACCAGTGCGCATCAGATCATCAAATTTAGCAGTAAGGTTTTTGAGGGAACTTTCAATTGCCTTGTCATTGATATCGACCTTGAAAGGAGGGTAAAAAGGGCCCAGCAATGGGCATGGGGTAAACTCCGACAGCGCCGAAGTAAACAAAAGAAAGAGAGAAGCGGAACGGACGGGCGAGGAAAGCATCTTCGCGGTAGGAAATAAATAAACAGGTAGACACGAATTGTACTTCTTTTTGTCGAGTTCATTGCATACATTTTATACAGCGTTCTTGTTGAAGTGCTGTGGGTCGGCTCGGTGATCGTTGTTCGCTGACAGCCCTGGTGCCACAGCCTCACCCGCGCGGATCGGACATGGAAATAAAAGGCCCCCAACACTGCCACCTTTTCAGCATGAGCTTGGCGTAAACAGCTAGACGGGTCCACTCGGATTCGAATTCATAAACCGATTTTTGAATATGGAGTCTGAGGTTTTTAATTGCTTTATCTTTATGCCATAGCAAACCATGATTGATTCCTCTCAACAGTCTCATTTTCTAATTTCACAATTATAGCCAATTACTCATAACTTGTTCGACAGAAGTATTGAGAAGAAAATCGTTTGGCAACCCACTGTCCTCCGTAAACCCAAGCATGTCTTGTGGCAAGTCAGTCCACTCTCCCGAATCGGCATCTTGAAGCGTGAATACCGGTTCAATAAAGTGAGTGCCGTCGATGGAACCCTCAAAGTGGAAGTCACTACTGGGTGTATCATCCTTTTGGCCCCCATCAAGCCGAGTTTGTATCTGAACGATCCGATTTCGAAAATCTACAAAGACATCCCGATCCCCATTGTGGTCGACATTAGGCGTTGACAAGGCTCCGACACGCTGCCGAAGCAAAGCTAGGGTTTGAAGATATGTCTCTTTTCTTTCAGGGATTAGAGATGCGGCCGTGCTGCGGTATCCGATGAGCATGGCGAAACCTAAATGTACCCATTCCGCATTAGTGAAGCCAAGTTCTGATGCTGGCGGGAGCGAGAGGTAGAAGCTAATAATTGATTCTACTGCATGCAAGGCAGAGTTTGACAATTCGTCGCGCCAGGTTTGAGAAGGGGCAGCTTGAAATGGCAAAAGGGGTTGTTGATCTGCCATGTTGAGGGCTAGCTGGTAGAGACAAAGACTGGTTGATTGAAAATGAAGTGCAAGAGATGCTGGGAAAACCTGTATTAGTGGGGAGTTCGGAGAAATAGTACACTGCGTATCATGGAAATCACTCACGAGAGTCATAAATATTGAACGGTAATCGTTTTTGGAAGGTTGATAAGTCGTCTTTTACACCTTTCACGTAGAGCTCTGCTCCGGATCCTGGTCTCGATAGTTCGTCTCCATGATCTGCGGACAGACGATCTATTTTCTCCGCAATATGCTGTAACTGCACAATGTGCATTATGTATCGATCGTGAGGATATTCATTCGCGTTGAAAAGAAACTGGCTGCAATCTTCAATATATGGAACGTAAGGGAAAGTGGAATGTTTTTGAAGGAGAACCGCGATCCTAGGATATCGTTAGACTTCAGAGAGGTAAAATTTGACAGTGATTCAACCTACGAAGATGAAAGGAAATAACATCCTATAATAGCTCTCCTTTCATCATTGCTCCGTAATGGCCGGTCATAAGTCGATTGATTTGTAGGCTCGCCGGCTCGAAACTGGAGTTTTGTTTTCCACGTTTTCCCCTGTGGTGCTCGGTCCAGCCGTAGATCGATAGCGACACTTATCGCCAATTGGAGATACTGTGTGTAGCGATGTGGCTTTGTATGGTAATGGGACCTGCCATGCTGTTAGAGCCGACTTGATGCATGTCACTTAACTTGGCGAAAAGCTGCATTGTATTTACCATGCCAAGAACACCAACAACCCTTGCAGCATGTCAAATGAGACCTCTCCATTTAGGATCATGCGAGCAGAAACGGCTTTTTTGACTTCGGCTCCGAGAGACCGCTGCAGTGGCATATTTTCATAGGAAGCAGCAGCAAGGATGGCCAGGAACAAGAATGGTTTGTCCTGGCGCAGGTGGTGCACTGATACATCTGGCGGGATGATCACGAAAGGGAAATGAGGAGTCATCACGGTCTGAAAGATGGCCAAATAATTCTGCGCTGTCTCGACGCTGAGGTATCCTCGATCTACGACATCCTTGTCACCGTCATCCGAGGCGACCGAGGCACCTCGTGAATTGGTCTCTTGTTCTGATGGAACTTGGGAGGTGTTTGCCGACATGGCACGATCGGACAATAACTCCTGGACTTGCGCCTCGAGAGCCTCGATCTTCCTACGTGACAGTAAGCCATTATCCAGTGACAACTATGTCACGAAATAAGCATACCGATCCTTTTGAAAGCCATGGAATCGGCGTCCGGTTTGCCGATAAAGACATTGCCGACCGAGACGGAGGCATCTGTAAAACCATCAATCCTACGTCGGCGAGTCGATATTAGAATGGCCTACCGGTTACAGACGTGTGGATTTGCTGCATTTCGAATACAGCGAACTTTCGAGCTTGCGCAACTCTGACAGGTTCTTGATACATTGGCCATGATTGGGATTGGTTGATGTATCTTCAACACGGTCCATTCAATCCTCCCTGAGTAGATTATTGATGAAGTGATTTACATTCGCGATGCGGAAGGGTGGTTGCCTGGCATTTCAAAGATATCGAATTGTTCTGATGAGGCTGTGCAGATCAGCCTTCTTGAGTCGACCGCTGACTAACGGCCACGCTTATCCCATTCGAGCAGACTATGACGAGGCTGTCGTTCCCATCTTGGCGTGCTCAGTGTTCTTCGGGCTTTTCCACCTTCAGCGACTGGATGGGGTTTTGAGGTTCTTCTTTTTCAGAACCAGCTGGCACCATCTAATTGCTACCTCATCTTCTTAGATGATTGCTGGCCACTGAACTCGCTCATGCAGCATTCTCGGTAAATTCTTCGCTTGGGTCAATCTCACGATATGACCTTCATGTTGCCCCAATGTTGCCCAACCTTGGTCAAATAGGAAGCAGAACGGGAAATAGATCACTCATGCCACAATTGTTTTCAATAGATCGGACAAGATATGGAGGGGGTCATGATTAAGTGCAATTTACTCATCTCAGCATCAGCCACAGCCTGATTGAACACTACTCGTACCGATATATGCAATTGATCCGCTTCATGGTCTCTTCTCTTGGCGAGAGAGCGGAAGGCTTTACCATGCGCCCCTTTCCTGCTGCAACGGTTGAGGGTCGATTCCAAGCCTGGAAGAAACCAACACCAGTCAAGGCCGAGACAAAATGAATGAACCGAGAGGAAAGGGATACATCATTTTGTTTGACAGCAAAGAATGAGAGCGCTAAGCTTTATGCAAGACCAGATCCACGACTCAACGGCTATCATTGTAGAGAAGGTAACGGTCTTGGCAAGGCGGCATCCAGCCCACTATTGCGCGAGAGCCTTGTGTGTACTCCGTACCGTGCGTGTGGCCCCATCTGATTTTGACCAGGATTCGGCCCCGATGGGGTAATAGGGCATTGGGGGCTTCTGCGATTGGCGGAATTCATGGGTATGGTCGAAATATCTATCATGATCAACAGGTCCAGACCGCGACGGCCTCGATACGCTGGTGGATTTGATTAAGATTGGCGGGAGAATCCAGCAGGGCCGGAGTCAGGAGGGCGATGATCAGTGGGCGAGTTTTCATGTGCGAGTTCCAGTTGGATAGGGGTATGGAGTATGGAGGATTCGATACACAGTGATCATGTGGGTACGAAGTACGAGTACCCATCCTTCACTCTTTTGCATAGTGTGCCGGCAGTCAGCACGCAGTAATCCGTACAAGGTACGGGGTATACTCATACAAGTAGAATTTCCCCAATGATTGAATGCAGTTGCAGATGTAAGCAGAGGCAAACAGAACGAGGGAAGTGGATGTAGGTGTGAGTGTGGGAAAGTGGAAGTCTCCACTGAAAAGGAACCCCCGGGGAAGGAACCCACGTGATTGGCTATCATCTACACCAAAAGTGGTTCTGCCCCTGAGACTAACCTCCAACTAACCTCGACTATTCACCAACACTAGTACATCTACAGCTCTAGTCTCCTGTTGCTAGTCAACTAGCGCCTTCAGGGGGCCGCTCAGCCTTCCTGATGGGGAACTGTCTCCAGTCCATCCAGGGTCAGCCCTTTCAAGTTGGACCCTCTTTTCCTGATGGCCCTCTTTGGCCCCAAACCGGTTCGCTTCCCCTGGGGTGACTGGGGCCAGGGCCCTGGCGGCTGTGCTGGGCCTCTTTTCTTGTCGACTTTGCCAGCTTTGGGACTTTCTTTCTCTTCGACCCCATTCTCTGCGAGCTTCTTGTGTCCAAGGCCTCTGGCCATCTTACATTCTTTATTTTCAATTCTCGGTTAATCCCAGTCATTCGCTCTTTTGATACACAAGTCCACGATCGCAGATATGAAGTTCAACATCGCTCCCTCTCGCGCTGCCGCGCTCGTCGCCCTCATTGCGAGCGCTGAAGCTGCCCGCCACGGCCACTCCCACCTCCACCGCCGCTCCGAGAATGTCTCCGTTGAGAAGCGTGGTGGTCAGTGCCAGTTCCCATCCAACGCCGGTCTCGTCTCCGTCACTCCCAATGAGGAGAACGCCGGTTGGGCCATGAGCCCTAACCAGCCTTGCAAGCCCGGAAACTACTGCCCGTACGCCTGCCCTGCCGGTCAGGTCTCTATGCAGTGGGATCCCAAGGCCACTTCCTACTCTTACCCCATGTCCATGGTATGTTGCGTCGATCATTCACCTGTCATGTTCCGCAAGGGATATGCGCATATGCAAGGGCCCCCGCTGACAGGTCATATCTAGAACGGTGGTTTGTACTGTAATGAGGATGGCGAGATTGAGAAGCCATTCCCCAGCAAGCCTTACTGCCAGGATGGTACCGGTGCCATCAAGGCCAAGAACAAGGCCGGCAAGGCTGTCTCCTTCTGTCAGACCGTCCTTCCCGGTAACGAGGCCATGCTTATCCCCACTCTGATCGAGGAGCTCGAGACTCTGGCTGTTCCCGACATGTCCTACTGGTGCGAGACCGCTGCCCAGTACTACATCAACGCCCCCGGTATCTCTGCCGAGGAAGGCTGTGTCTGGGGTACCAACGCCAATCCCGTCGGTAACTGGTCCCCTTACACTGCAGGTGCCAACACCGTCACCAACGGCGACACCTATGTGAAGATCGGCTGGAACCCCATCTACTTGGAGCCCACCACTCCCTTCCGCAACATCAAGCCAACCTTCGGTATTGAAATTGAGTGCGAGGGTGGCGGCTGCAATGGTCTTCCTTGCAAGATCGATCCATCCACCATGAGCATCAACCACATGGAGGGTTCCAGTATCATGACCGGCGCCGGTGGTGCTACCGGCTGTACCGTTACCGTCCCCAAGGGCTCTACCGCTCACATTGTCGTCTGGGACGTTGATGGCAGCGACAGCGACAGCGGTAGCTCCAGCTCTGAGACCGTCTCCATCTCGACTAGCTCCGCTACCTCGACCTCGACCAGCACCAGCACTCCTACCCCGACTCCTACCACTACCTCGACCACGGAGACCCCTACCTCCACCCCCACATCTACTCCTACCCCCACTACCACCACCTCCACCTCCACCTCCACCTCCACCCCTACTCCCACTTCGCCATCGACCTCGACTGTCACTGCTACCTCCACCGTGACTCCCTCCAGCAGCACCAAGCTGCCCAAGTCGAGCCCCTCGTTGAGCTACACCTACCGCCCTCATGTTTTCACTGGTTCCGCTGAGATTGTTGCTGGTTCGTCGGCTACCGGCACGGCTGTTGCGGCTGCTTCATCCTCCACCGGTGCTCCCGGCAATGGTGCTTCCACCGCCACTGTCTCGATGGCTAGCCTGCTCTTCGGTGCCGTGGCTGTCATGGTCATGAACTACTAGGTCTGGCCGGGTCTGTAGCTACTGCGGACCGGACTTGCCAACGTATAGATGACTTGGAAGCCGTTCACAGGCGCCGCATCGGGAAATCTCCGACTGCAAGACATGCATATTATATTCACTTCTAATCACCCGTCTATTATTACCTTTCTACATCCGTTCGATCGCGAGCGCTTTTACCCCTCATGACGACGTCCACGTTGACATCATCTTTTATTTTTTACGACTTATATATACCTTTTTCGCTCCTCAGCGACAGTTTTATTTTTTAGTTTCTTGGGTGTCCGATTACTTCTCGTTATTGATATATGCATTGGTTTATTTATATGGGTTCCTAATTCGACGACCGGTGAAATGTTTTTTAAACCGAGCGAGTTTGGAGGGGTCTTTGTTGGACATAGGAAAATGGGCTTTGAAAATTTACAGTTACCATCTTTGACCTTCTTTTCTCTTAGGTGCATGTACTGCCAGGACGAGATTCCCGCGCAAATGTCTGTAAATTTAAAATCATCTCTTTCAGCCTGTGTCCTCTAGCTATATTGAACATCTCATACTAGTATGTATAATAACCATTCGTTTTATAAATTAATCATTGAAGTTACAAAAAGATTTGTGTAGAAAATCTTTGTTTGGTAAAGTTATAAGAATATACAGAGTTTGAACCCGGAGACATTTGAGAGGCCATACTATGAAGGCTTGATCACATATTGAGGACTCCGAATAAGTTTTTTTTAAACATTTCTCATTGGTACACCATTAGTCTAATCTGCTCATACTTACTAGGCGTACAATTCCCCTTTTATCAGAACTGACACTTCGTCAGCGGCGAAAATGCCGTGTCCGATACCGTCGGCACCTTCAGCTGGTTTCTCAACAACCCCCCATTTGAGTTTTCAGTGCGAGATATTAGAGTCAAATTGCCCAACTGGAGTTCCGTCACTGAGTAAGATCCATAATGGATGGCATGCAGCGGCAATACTAGCACTACAGCATCCCGATAGGGGAATGTTGGCTGGATATTTCGGTACTAGAGCCGCAATGATCAATGCAAACAACAGAGCTCCGCCCACAGAGCCCGCGAGGACCCCTGCAAGAGGCGACTGATAAATGTATCCCAAAGGATGTATCTTGATCGCGGATCCGGGCATGAGATAATAAATATCTATGTTTGCGAAGAAGATAAGCTGCGAGACCAGTATAGCCAAGGCGATCATCAATGGAATCGGCCACTGAAGCGGTACAGACAAGAAGTATGTTGATCGCTGGGCGATATTGTTCACAGGCAGCGACTAGTCAACACTATCCTGGTATCGCCGTTTGACAAGGTATTCGCTATCAACCCTTTGAAATTTACTACAACACTTTCATTATCTACAAGGTGTTCATAATGTAGTATGTTTGCATTCATTGAATGAAATGACAACCGTATACTACCAGTCTGTACTGTCTGCCTAATACTAATATGCAAAGGAAAAAAATATCGTTCATCAAAACTTGAAGCCATTATAGTAACGCCCATCGCCATGCACTTTTCAGTTCTATCAAACGCCCGTGGCCGCTTAGCTTGCCCCGATTCCCAGTCTCAGTAATTCAATTCCGCAATTGGAATAACCATGTCTGGCCTATTGCATACAAGGGCCATGCCGTTGAGGTTTCGTTGTCGGACTTCGCGCATGTATTTTCTTTGCTCGTAGGGTATGTCGTAAGCGTTCTCTTCGTCGTCCCCGTGGTACATTTGATAGATGCCGGAACCAATAAGTACGAATGCTATGCACCCAACAATGATAGCGAAGACGTAGAGGGAATATTGATTTGAGCCGTCACGCTTCATGAGGGAAGTGGCAGTCTCCATTTTGAAGATTGAATCGCGAGGGATAATAGCTGCGAGAGTAATGAAGGTTAGTTGAGTTATGAGAAGCGTCCCAATTTGGGGGCCCATTGATCCAGTCTCAAGAATGTAGACTCACGACTCATGTTAAATCAATAATAACAAGTCTCAAAGGACGGGTAGTAGTCCAGACAATGTCACGGTATAGGATGTATAGTGTAGAGTGGAAATTCACAGAGTTGCTTACTAGGAAAAAGAGACACAGCCAGAGTGTGGCAGACAGGGTAAATATAAGGAATCCCCTCGTCGGGCCAAAATACTAATTTCCAACCATCGGACCCATCCCATGCACACACAATCCAAAGATAGGAACCGAGCAAAGTGAAACACCATCAGCACATTCTCATCCATGCCAACCAAACTAAGAACCTGATATCTTCCCCAAAAGGGAATAGCGTCTTTTTAGTCTACTTCCCATGATGTCATAAACCGAGCGGACCAACCACAGAACGGAATTGCCCAAGTGGGTCTACCAATCAGGGCTCGTTTGATCGCAGCTGCGCTTCTGACAGTCTCCATCGGCCCCGGTATCCTATTTTCTTCTTGCAGGACTCCATAGTAGTAGCCTCGTACTCCATAGGAACCTTGTTGATTCGCGAGCTAATTTTACTTTCTCTTTCCTTCTTTATTTTTTCTTGGGTAAGGACATGCGTGTCCTCCTTTTGTGGCCAGCCGGTCGATGTCGACTTAAGCAATCTGGACCCAGGGCAATGCTTTCAACTGTGTACTAGATGTATGGAGATCAGGCTGACCCCCCCCACTACAACTGCTCATTGGATCTAATTATACTTGCTCGCTCGTCTCTGTCCAGTCAAGTACCCCGAGTGAACGCCCCGGCTGTTCCTGGTGCACAGGCCTAGTTTTATCGATGCTACTCCCTTGGCTTTAGCAATTATAAGGCCATCGACAGCCAATCAATGGTTGCTCCCATCTTTGCAGAGCAGCATAGGGAGAATGTATTTTCCTGACTAGTAGCGAGGTTTCCCGGCCTTTCAAAGGCCTCGTGGACGATGTTTCCAGCTCGATTTCTTCCCTACCCCAAGACTTGAGAAGTGTTGCTCACCAGTGGAGTATTGACGGGAACTGAAGCAATTTAACAGTTCAATCCAGTCCTTTCTGTGAAGTTTTGCAATACTATTTTTTGCAGTTTAATTGAGGATGATTGAGTTGGTCTTTTCAGGTGGTCAATGTTGGTGATATTGATTCCTGTTTGAATTGAACCCAGGAGAGAAAACAGGAAGCAAAAGGAAGGAATTCGAGATTTACAATCAAACACTAATTTAACCCGGTCCTTGTGAATAAATGGAGACATATCTATGAAATTCAGCTAAATCTCGACTCAAAGAACTTGAAGGCATCGGTCGAAAGCCGTTCGAAGCAGAAATTCCCAACGCAAGCAAACAACGAGGCGGAAAATGGAAACTTACGACCGCACCATAACTATGCTCTATAAACCAATTTTTGGGATTGATTGCGAGTCATAATTCAACCTATACCGATAAGATGAGGCGACTCTTTTTACAGACAGCCCTATCGTTCTCATGGCTGTAGTTCCGATATTAGTCAGCAAACGACCGCCCACCTTCATCAAGGCAAAGTATCTCGCCACAACTCTTCAACGAGCCTCGTAATGGATCTAGAATCTGGCGGCCCGTGCTACACCTGTCGGAATCGTCGCATTCAATGTGACCAGACAGGGGTGCCGTGCGCGAAATGCCAGAAGGCTGGCCTGGAATGCCTCGACAAACGGCCATTCCGATGGGTTCAAGGCGTGGCTATCCGCGGGCGAATGCAGGGCCGATCGTACGACGCCAACAAAGAGACAGCGGCCACTGCTGCTGGGAAACGGATGGTGTTGAAAACTAATGCCACTCGGAGGGGGCCCCGGAAAGCGGAAGGTCTGTTCATCCTGGGGGAAAGGCGGGACAAGGCTCTGATTTATCACTAGCCATACTAACTTTGAAACCAGACCATACTATCCTCGATACGGCATCTTTACCTGTCGTTCTTCACGATCCTTCAACTTTACATTTGGATCGCAAATCCCAGTACTACATTGACTATTGTAAGCATGGAGTCCCGCTCAAAAATTTCACAAACTGACCTCAAACCAAACAGTTAATGACCGAATATGCAAAGTTTTTATTTTATATGACAGCAACCGGAATCCATTAAGAAGTCTGATTCCCATGGGTTATCAAGATCCGGTTCTAATGAAGGCTCTTCTTGCGCTTGCGGCCCGTCACCATGTCAATACGGGCCACTCATTCCATCAAACTGAATTGCCGGCATCTTCCTCATTGCAGCTTGCCAATGCGAACCAGGATGCCCTCTCATTTAAACACCAAGCCATGGAGGCATTATCGCACTCTCTGCGCGACACACAGTTGAGCAAAAAAGACACTACCGTTGCCAGCATCTTCCTCTTGATCTTTCTAGATCTTCTCGAATCTGGCAGTGATGGCTGGAATTTTCATCTGCAGGGGGCTAAAAATTTAATCGCATCTACTTTCTCGCATCCCAATTCGGAGACGAATATTAATCAGGGGCCTGGACAAACAATCGAAGAAATTCGAGGCTTCATCATCAAACAAATTTACTTGTGAGTTACCCTAGGTAAATGAAGGCAGATGACTTTGAATTTTGTTGACCTTGCAATTTTTGGCAGTATTGAGACACTTGGAGGGGCATTCCTGCGCCCTAAATTATTAACTCAAAACTCATCCTTCGACCACCAAAAAGAGAAATACCAAGAGGCGATCGAGGCCTCCTTTCTCGGATGTCCCGAGTATATACTGACGGCAATTCAACGGCTTTCTGTGCAAAGGGACAGCATTGCCGAATCTCAACGGCCACTTGATGAGATCTCCACCAACACCTATTTGAAGGACACAGCATCATTAATCGAAACCATTAAAGGCTTCGACAGCTACGCCTGGGCCACAAATCTTCGGCGATCCAGGAGCTCTTCATCCCAAGAGATCATAGGCCTGTGTAACTTATCCGAATCATACAAACTTGGTGCTCTTCTCTACGCAGGACGCATCGTGGATGCCCTGACTGAAGAGTCGATCGAACAAAACCATCTGATCACAGAGCTTCTTGGCGTGATAGAGTCTCTGAAAGACAACCTCGAAATATTCAAATGCATTTTGTGGCCAATGTTTGTGGCTGGCTTGGAGTGCCAATGGCAGGCCCAGAGAGACTTTCTCATCGATTGCATTGAGAAATTCTGGGACATCACCAATTGTTTGAATGCAGTTAATGCTGCAAAGATGCTGCAGGAATACTGGCAGAAGGAAACTTCTACAGAAGATGCACAGTCACAATGGATATTTAGCATTGGAAGTTTGGATCGAGACTGGCTTTGGCTTTAAGGACATACGATATACGAATAATGAGTTGATTTTCATGTTATCCCTTGAATGTTTGATCTCATCTAGATTATGATTCTCTTGTCAGCGAGGTGAATGCCTGCAACAAGTCGGCCTTTAAATCCTCCCAGTTCTCCAGCCCAATGCTAACTCGCAATAGCTTGCGATCAACCTTTGAATCAGACAGCGCCCGCCATTCAATGAGCGACTCAACCCCACCCAGACTCGTAGCATGCTGGAAAAAGTTCAGTTTGCTAGGAAGGGTTTTCGCAAAGGTCTCATCACGCAAGATGATCGAGAACACAGGCCCAAACCCGCAAGGCATCTGCTTCGCCAACCACGGCTCATTCTGGAGACTGGCATGATACATTTTCTGGAGGACAGCTTGAATGACAAATTCTTCGCTGCCCGGGACAGGGTCGAGGGTCTTCATAGCAACATCAAGCCATGAAATCAATTTAGCGCAGTTCTCGCTCGCGCGCTGAACTCGAACTTCTAAAGTTCGCAAGCTCCGAAGACCCATCCAGCCTTCGAGGTTGCCAATGTTGCTTCCTAGAGCCACTCGGTCCTCATAAAGTCGTTTCAACCAGTCTTCTCGCTTGACAGCAAGAACACCGCATAACATATCGCTGTGACCACCGAAATATTTCGAGCCTGAGTGGAAGACGATATCAGCTCCCCATAAAAACGGATCCTGGAGGCCTGGTGGCCCGAATGTGCTGTCGACAATCAGGTAAGCGCCGCGGGAGTGTGCTTTCTTGGCATATTCTTCAATGTTGAATGCAGTTCCGAGCGGGTTGACGGGTGTTTCAAGAAGGATGACATCTCCTTCCCCTAAGTTTTCGGCAGGACAGTCGAGCTCGAACTTTTGAAGACCTGACAGACGGGATATAACCGATATAACTTCATGACTGCCGTGGTAACCGTCGCCCACGGATATACGTCGGGGGTTCAAGAGGGTCAAGGCGGCGTATAGAGCTGCCAGTCCGCTGGCGTAGCTCACAGCATGGCCCTTTAGGAGAGATGAAAGGACTGCTTCGAAGCGAGTTGCATTGGGTGCGAATTCGCGGGAATATACGTAATTCTTGCCGTTGAACTCGGCCTATACATTGAGTTGGTCTTTAAAGTCGATGGAATGGGAGTAGGTTTGCTTTCAATACATACGATTGGGTCCTCGGGTATGACAAGTTGGTTAGGGTCATTAGGATATCTGAAAATTGTGGAAAGGTGAATGGGTGGTGCAACATCATTCACCAAGTTCAAGTAGTCATCGGCATGGAGCGCTTGGGTTGAGGGATGGGCATTGTTGACGGGAGCCATGTTGTGTGTGTTTTTTCTACCTTTCCAGTAGATTGTTTGTATTCAATCATAAATGAAGAGAAGAGTTCTTATTTAGCAGATTCTGGCACTACAGCAACACGGATATCAGAACATGTAGAGCTTTTCTCTCCCCTCGCCTCTCGCCCCACTCCCGTCAAGTTCCTAATCCGGAGGGTTATCCCACCATGTCATTGGTCAAGCAACTCAATCTTCTCGGCTGGCTTAATTCGTGTCCACTCAGAAGAGTCATCGTTAGACTCCACTGTTCAAATCTCCTCTTCTTTTCCTTCTATGGTTTAGTTTTGCCCAAATCTGCATGAATGAGCCATCACCTAAACTTGTTCGTAGGCATAGGGCGTGGTATGCATAGGGCGTGGATAATTGATAACCCTCATTATACGGCGGGGTGAGCCAATGAAAAGCCCGCATTACAAAGGGAACGGCAAATAGAAAGCCCCGCGATTGGCCTAGTCACTGATCAGTGATGGGTAACTAAATGGAACAGCTGTGGTGGTACTCCGTATATAAAGAGTAGATTAGAGACCATAGGTCTTGACTCACAACTATACACACACCTTTCCTGCTCCTTCTCACACTCGCCGATCACCATGTATCTCCGCGCAGCCCACGCAGAGAACTCAATCAAAGCTCTCTTCGAATTCATTCAAGGGAATCCCCTAGGTGTCCTCACCACCGCCATTTCCTCGCCATCCTACCCATTCCTCCAATCCAGCCATATCCCCTGGGTATTGGATATCTACGACGATGACCCCTCGGCGCCCGTCAAAGGACTCCTACGAGGCCACATGGCCCGACAAAACCCCCACTCCAAAGCCATGATGGAATCTTGCACCAATTCACCTACTGGAAAACTCCAGCAAGACGTGATGATCCTCTTCACGGCCCAGGATCACCACTACGTGACGCCGAAATTCTATACCGAGACCAAGCCGGCTACTGGGAAGGTGGTGCCGACGTGGAACTACGCCGCGGCTCAAGTCTACGGTAAAGCTACGATCTATTATGACTCGGCTGCGGATGAAACGGCGCAATATCTTCAACAGCAGATTCATGATTTGTCTCAATTGTGTGAGACTTCTATGATGGGTCATACGGGTCAAGAGGGGAAGCCTGGGCCTTGGAAGGTTTCTGATGCGCCGGAGCGGTATATCGATATTATGAAAAAGAATATTATCGGCATTGAAGTTTCTATTGAGAGTATTGGGGGTAAGTTTAAAATGAGTCAGGAATTGGGAGAGGGGGACCGACAAGGTGTTATTCAGGGCTTTAATAACCTTGGCTCGGATGTTGGGACTAATCTGGCGGGTTTGGTGAAAGAGCGTGGGGAGATGAAGGATGCAGCGAAGGGCCAGAAATGATTTAGATAGAGGCTGAGATAGAGTATATTCCAGAGGAAGTACTAGTACTAGTGCTCATTCAAGTGCCAGTGGCCATAAAGTATACTATTAAGTGTGTTCGAGTATGCTGGTATTTTGCCTGTTGTGGGGGCTCTTCCAGTCCAGTCCATTTACCTAGTATCTTTTGCTGTCAGGATTCGTGATTAGTGCTAGTAATAAAGTCATTGCTGCCTAGTCTCATTTATATTCCCACAATTCCATTGCCGAATGCATGTCCTCTATGACTCCTTTATCAGCCCAGTGGGGTATGGGACATACTGCTTTGGGGCTGTTTGGACCCATCGATTACCGCGCATCCCCCACCTCCCCTCTCCATCCCTTTGTTCAACCACATCAACACCTCCAACATGCCTCCCACGGCCCAAACAGTGAGTGAATTCTGCATACACCTGGGCAGTTACTCTGTCTCATATCCCCCTGTATATCCATCTTGTCACCGCAAACTTGAACTCGCTGCCTAGAGCTTACCCCGCACTGCGATTACGAGAACCTCCCCCCATCATGCCGCATGCTGCGCGCAACGCCAATCCTCCGCCCAACGAACCTCCTTGATTGAGACTCAAGAATTAGTACTAACACAATGGATCAACAGACCCGCTTAGTATCTAACCTCCGCCTCCTAATCCCACGCCTCCGCCTCCTACAAAAGAAAGACAACGCATCCTCCGTCGTCCAACGTCGCGAACTCTCCCAACTCCTCAGCGAAGGCCGCGAGTCCTCCGCACGCATCCGAGTCGAAAATGTCATCGCAACCGACATCGCCGTCGAGGTAATGGAGATGGTAGAACTGTATTGTGAACTCCTACTAGCGCGCGCCAACGTCCTCGACCAACTCGCCTTCGGAGAGAAAAGGAACCCGCGCAAGATTGCGCGCAAAGGAACTCTATAAAAAGCAAACCCAGCCGCATGCAGGGGCGGCCGCAAAGCCCGCTGAAACCTCCGGGTCTCGGTTTGGGTTCGCGTGGTTGGGCGGGGGCTCACAGAAGAAGGAAGATACTAGTCTTGCGGATGACGCTGGACTTCTAAGTGATGATGACGATACGTATATGGATACTGCGCTTGATGAGGCGGCCACCGTCATTTTCTATGCTTGGCAGCGATTCCCGCATGAACTTCGGGAACTGACTATTCTGAGGACTATGCTGGGCGAGCGGTATGGGAAGGAGTTTATGACGCTAGCGCAGGAGAATAAGGTGGATACTGTCAAGGTGCCGGATCGTCTTTTGAAGGGTCTGCGCGTGCGTCCGCCTGGTCAGGAATTGGTGGAGAGTTACCTTCGAGAAATCGCAAAGGCATATGGTGTTGCATGGCCGGAAGAAGACATGCAGGAAGACTTGGGAAGTGCGCCGCCTGAATTCGTGGATGATTCCCAAGGCGATGGCGACGACAATGAAGGGGGCGATTTGCCAGTCACCCCGGGGAAACCAGGTGCAGGCGCCACTGAGGCCAGGCGCGCCTCGGAGACCAGTGAACTTAGCAAAGCGACGCCTCCGCGAGGTCCTGCCGATGGTCGGAGTCCTGTCAGTGTCGCCCCGCCGGCGCCGAGGACTGATAATCCAAACCCGCGGGTGAAGGTTCCGGGGCCAGAGGAGAATGAGTCAACGAAGGCTTCCGCTGCGGCAGGGTCAAGGCCTCAGGGGAAAAGCAGTAATGGTGGGATACCAGAACTGGATGAATTGACACGGCGGTTTGCAGATCTCAAGAGAAAGCCTTAGACCTGCAGCTTGCCGAGGGAGAAGGTCTTGTGACAGCCAGCACTCAGCCAGCTCCCGCACTGTCATGTACATAGTCTTGGGCGGCAGTTCATTCGGCCTGGCGCTAGTTGTGTTTTAAATTGATGTTAGTAGTACTAGTATTGACGAGCAAAGCGTTTCCCCAAGCAATGGATAATTTTTCAGATTAATGCATCGGCATCTGCTTCTCAGGAACCGTGACGGGAAAGAGATCCAAGCTTGATCGATCTGGGTAGATCTCGATCTTGCAGAGAGGGGCGATCTAGATCGAACCAAAGTTATATCAACTTGGGAGTACAAGACAAGGGCGACTTGGGGGTTGTTATCCTCAAGACAATAGTAGGACTTGAAACTAAATCAATTCCGCACACGAGTATATACTCTATGTGTCTATAGTATTCACTAGTATACTAAATATACTCCAAGTAACTTGAAATGAACGTGTCTCATTTGAGTCGCGCCGTTAAACTAAAAAGCGGGACTAAACCCAGTTGGAACTTGAAAAGCCCGGGAAATTGAGAGTCCCCAATCCGATGCATCCACCTGCAATCTCGACAACACGAGCTCCGAGTCCCCTGTCAATTTCTTAATATGAGAGGAGTGCGCCTCCTGCCATCGTCTCCCTCGCACGCGACTCTCCAACCTACCCACTAATTACCCGCGAATCTCCATTCCTCTTCCCCCTCCACCTCTCCTCCGCCAAATCGATCCGAACAAACCACACATGCCGGTCTACATGCTCCACGGGTTCCGGTGGCCTCGCGCAGGCTTCACGGGAATCCGAGTCTATGTCGTCCTCCACAACCTGGAAGAAGCCGCCGCCGAGTACATCCAGCAACCACTCACCACGGAGCTTCTGACCGAATCCTTCAACAAGACTTGCCCCGACCTCGTCCCCCGACTGCCTGAACTACGCTTCATCGAGCAGTACGATCCCGCCGACGAGACCAGCAACACTGTCAGCCAGGAACATGCCTACGTCGGCGCAAAGGTCGTTGTTTTCCCCGACGGCGGTGGTCTGGCACCCGCGCCCGGCGCGGGCCCTGGATTGAATATTGAAGACGTCGTTGAGCAAGGGTCCGGTTTGACGGACGATCAGACAGCAGCGCTAGAGGAACTCCGCGATAGATTAGCGCCCGGCGAGAAAATTGGCTGGTTTATGGTTTATAATGGTGATCCGGACAGATATTTCCCTCCGTCCGAGGACGAGGATGAGGATGAATATGACGAGGAGGATGAGGAGAGTTATGTCGATGAGAAATCCGAGGCTCAATCGCAAGCTGCGACTGAGCCGGGGACTCCTCAGAGTTATACCGTATGTAAAGAACGGATCAGATCAGGGCATATCTTGTTTTCTTCTGTTTTTCCCATGCTAATATGCCTCGGCGATTTTCCAGGCTCGTCTAACGAGGCTCTTCAATCGCATGAGCTCTTCTTGAATCCATCACTCACCATTTCCGACCGTGTCGCAATCGCAACCCCAAGCCCAACCATATAATGAATGACCCCCCTCCCTCCGCCCATGTCGTCTCTCTCAGAACGACATCTCTCAACACGACAAATGACAAACCACAAATTTTGCTTGCCTGGGCTCAGTAAGATCGGAGCTTCACGAATTTCCACGCCTTATGTCAGTCGAAGCTCTTCCCGGAGCCATGTGCCAATGTTTCAATAAAAACTATACATTAGCGACGAGATGCGCTACTTACTCAGATAGTTCTCATTCTTTCCCCCTGTGAAGCCCTTGCGTAGATCTTCCTGCTTCGTTCCCATCGCTTACTATTCGTAGAATTAAACGGCACTAAATCAATTCCCCGTAAATCTTGCTGCAAGTAGTCAAGTTGGGTTGGCATCTGGCATTTGCCAATTGGGAGAATCTCTCCATATTCTTTCGATCTCATCATAGTCTAGTACACAACTTGAACTAGTAGTAGTAGTACTAGTATTGAAGTTGTTTTCCTAAGTACCGGAAAGATGATATCTCAGCTGGGAAACCAACCCTTAACCCTGTACTGTCATTCGTTGTCTTAGATCTATGTCCCTAATTGCCTGCATTTTGTCTTTTTTCAGGTTCGCCGTAGTAGTACAATCTGTATGTAGCCGGTATCCGAGCTTTCAGGATGTTGTAGAAGATGTTGAGACATTATTGTGACTAGTATTGAATCTCACTTGCTGACAGACATAATACACTGGCAGGCCGGTAGGTCAAAAGAGCACACTTGAGTGGCTAGACAAACAACCACTTTGTAAGCTGATTTAGCAAAGAAAGTACTTCCATTTATATGTATTTTCTTCTTTATTTTCTTTCGTCAAGATCACTGAAGGGGAAACCTCCTGAGTCGAGAATCATTTGGCAAAGATACATTTTTTATATCCCATCGATCTTTTTCTTTTCAATATCGGTGAACACGTACTCTCGCCTTGAAAATCGTACCTTGGCCTGAATTGATGAACTCCATATTTGATCCGCGGGGGATTTCTAATTTGATCAGGCCCTGCAATATTGATGCTCATTGCTAGAATTGAGTTTGAGCCGCTGAATAAGTTCAACTTTGTTAATATTGCGGCTCGGAGGAAGGAGCAACCACGAGGTACCTACCACTAGTACTAAACTGTCCAGGGAACCATGTGGAAGGTACGATGAACCACTTATAAGAGGTTCGCCCTCTCAACACGGTGGGAAAAACATCCCACCAACAACAAACAAGAGTCCGTGGTGGAAACCCAGCTCTTGTTCCCACCAGCTTCAGTCTAAATTATCGCTGGACTCCCATCTTCTCAAGCCAAGAACTTGAACCCGACAAAGAGTTACTTCCGGAATCGGGCCCGCCGCCGGCCTCAATTCTGGTGAGAAACTCCAGCGAGCCCTCAACAATCAAGTGGACTGGCGTCGCGTTTTTGGATGGAATCGAAGTCTGGTAAGTTACTGCTTTGGAAAATTGACAGGAGACTTGAACTAAGGAACTAGAATAGATAGGTATCTGAATTTCTTGAATGAGGGACACAGAACAAGTTCGGGATAAATCCAGAGAATTCAAAAGAGATGGCGCCCCTCAAAACCACACATCGTTTGGAAACTGTACCGAAACGTATGCGTATGTCCAGTCTTTCCAGTAGAACACGCACCTCGTTGAAACCATCTTGAATCGGCCATGCTACAAATCGTGGGCACCCACGCACCTGTGGACTGCTTCCTGTTATTTGGGCTGGGGAGTTTGGGGCACGTGAATTGCTTTTGCAGAGAGTGCTGACCAGGATGTCATATCTGCTTGTGCAAGTTGCCACTGGAGTGACAAACCAGCCTTCGCGCTGCAAGTATTATATCCCACTTATCACATGGACTTTAATTGTGAAGCACAAGTTTCTATATATATACTAAAAGGACTACAGCTGATAATCTCCAACTTGAGAGAAACCCACCTGACAGTCTAAACCAACGAACCCCAAAGCATGCTGTGATATGTAGGGATTCCATGGCACATCAATCGACTTCTACTACACTGAGAAACCGACGAGGACCGGTGCTCCAGGTACCCCAAGGCCGAGAACTAACGGCTGCATATCTAATTGCGGGATGAGTATTGTCTGCAACGTCAAGACACCCGCTAAGTTGAAGCAGCACTACTCCTTGCCCACCTGGAGGAAATAGTTGGCCTGTTTGGTGTTGATTCGTCCACTTGTTTGGCGATTTCTATATTTAAAGGGCATCACTGCTGTTGAGGCTTGCTTTCTACGGAATGCGCTCTCAGTTATTGGTATCTTGGCTGTGCTTTTTCTTCTGGTTCCAATGCCAAGCTTCGATTTGTTGAAGGGTTGCCTACGGAATGATTTGTTCATAAGTATTGTCACGTTCACAGAGATGTTGCCACTGGCATATCTGGTCGCGGAGTTACAGCGGCCGGTAGAATCTTTCAATGGCCCCTGCAGCGACCACTTTTGAACCCCAGCAAAGACTTGTTTGTGGATGTGTTCATGGCTGGCTTTCAAGACGCGGTGATTTCGTTCTTCGAGAAGTCGGTCTGGACAGGACATACGGAACCGTTGTGTTTTGGAAACCGGAGGATATTATCTATTTCGACGGTCTGTACTTTTACTTCTGCTATCGCATCATCATTGGATACAGTATCGTATGCTCAGTTGAATGCGGGCCAGCCATATTTCGTGATGTGGTCACTCATCGCAATCGAAACCATGATAACCAGATGGAAGACTTTTATGGTGGGACATGCGCTGGATGGAATGCGATACTTGACATCCTCAACTCCCCAGATGAAGTCGGCGAGCCAATTGACTCAAACGAGGTAGCCACAAATAATCTGGAGATAATCCAAAGTACGCCAAGCGACTTGAACATCGTCCCCGAGCTCCTTTCCTTCAGAGGGAGGGCGGATGCTCATCTCGCAAATGAGTGATACTGCCGTCGCTACTCCCAAAAATTCCTTGGAAGGGTTTAGTGAATACTTGGTCCCGAGGAGTTTTGATTGATATGCAGGGTCAGCTGGGACGCCTCCTTGAAGTTTATTCAGCTTGTGTAGCAGCATAGCCGCTGTGATGATACGACTATCTCGCTATCCATCATATCACGCTTTCACACTACGTAACCCATTAGTTACCTGCCTATCCATGTGCCATAACAGATAGTTTTCCTCCTTTCCCTCTTGTTTCCAGTTTTGTTACTTTCGTCTAATACTACATGATTCATCATATTGAGTTCCGTACAGTCGCAGGAATAATGTGTACTCACTTTCGACTTTCTATCCGTGTTGTACGAAAGAATATGTAGTAACGAACGAGGCACTGCATACACTTCCGACAGAATCTCCGAGTAAGCACCTACTACCTGGTAGATACTAGTGTATATCATGTTATGATCTTGGTTCTTAACAAATTTCAATGTTGTAGTATATGTTGATTTGCTCCGCGAACACGATCTGTGTTGTAGTGCTAATTATTATTTAGGCTTTGCTTTGCAGCACACACCGTTCGGACGCTTGAGTACTACTAGGCGCATAAATATGTAGTTGGGTGGATGGTATTTGCTGTGAAATCGGTCACCCAAAGAGAGTGATGGCATGGCTCTATTTCTAAGATGTTAATGACTTTGCACGTAGACCCTCATTGCCTAGGGGAACAATTGGTTCCTCTAGGAAAGTCCATATGTGGGATAGCAGAAGCTGGATTGGGGTTGATCTTTTTGCCTTTGTCTTGGCATTTTCAGGTTGACGGTTCGTTCTGTCTGCCAGCGACCAACTTCCTTACTTTTTCCCTTTATTTTTCACTATGACAAACGTGTTTTGTTTGTAGACTTTGCAGACTTTGTAGACTTTGTACTCTGCAATTGTATATTTTTAGAATACTGTAATGATGTGAACTTGAATACTGATTCATAGTGAACGCCGCATAGGCGGTGATTGGTGGCAGTATATCGGGGAGGCGGGCGGATCCCCCAGCTTCATTCCTAGCATCAACCTAGGCGTCTAACAAATGCTGGCCAGGTGAATTGGTCGAAGTTCCTCACAATGGTCCTCTCATTTATCATCGTGCAGAATCGCCAGTGAGTGCTCTCATCCCGCTCCCGAACCTTCCACGCCCAAATCCGGGACCAGGCTCAGGTAAAGTCCGCGATACTGATCAGCGGGTTATAGGGGCAAAACGCGCCTGGCGAAGTGGTATGCGCCATACAGTGTGAGTGGAATGGAATTAAGCTACTTTATTTACAAGAATCGAGACGCTGACTGTTATCTTTGATGCAGGATGAGGAGAAGGTGAAGCTAAAGGGCGAGGTTCGTTCTACCGCCGCGGACGACCGTACCGTGATGCGATGCGATGCGATCGACCCCCGACATCCCGCAATTACGACCACTAACGACCGGCCATATAGGTACATCGTCTTGTCGCGCCGAGAGATCAGAAATACCAGTCGAATTTCGTCGAGTTCCGCCGCAGCACCAAGATTGTTTACCGGCGATATGCGGGGTTGTTCTTTTGCGTTTGCGTCGATGCCAATGACAATGAACTGGCGTACCTGGAAGCAATTCATTTCTTTGTCGAGGTGCTGGATCAATTCTTTGGCAATGTTTGCGAGCTGGATCTAGTCTTCAACTTCTACAAGGTGAGTGTGGTGGTGGTGGAGTGGTCCGCATGGACCTTTCACCTTTTCCCCAGGAATGCGGATACTAATATGACATGTGGAATAGGTCTACGCAATTCTGGACGAGGTCTTTCTCGCGGGCGAGATCCAAGAGACCAGTAAGCAAGTAGTGCTTACGCGACTGGAGCATTTGGATAAATTGGAGTGAGGGGCTGGATCGTGGTGGCATGAACAGTGATACAGATAAGGGGAAGAGCCACTGGGATATCATATTGGGATACAAATATGGGTGCATTAGCAAGTCATTTGCATGGCGTTTAGGGGTCTGGGATTATGGAGGATATTCAATTTAAGGAACCCCTGATTACTCTTTCTGCAGACGGGGTACGAAGTCCTTCGTACGGCGTCCTAGTAGTACGGTATTCTGATAATGGTGTGATCTCATTTGTACGAATTATGCCATCATTTGGGCTTGAATGTCGAAATTTCTAGCCAGTCTGATAGGGCTGGGTCTGTGCCAAGGCCAGGGATCGTATTCCTTACTCTTTTCAATTGCCCAGACCCTGATCAGGGTCTGGGTGGGATACTCCGTGCTCCAGTGTTATGCTATACTTGGTCCCCCCCGCTGGGACCTGCAGGCTCCCAGATTCTGAACTGCCGACAAACACTGCCGCACCTGTCCGTGGGGTCCATGATGGGCATGAACGATGCGGGAGGGTTGGTTAAGCTTAATTGAAGTGAATGTTTATTATTTGAAGGACCCATCGCGCACCGTTGGTAATTTCTGATTTTGACTTGGGTCGTGTGTGAGGTGATTGTGCTCATCGATGGCGCACACACCATTGATGTCTTGGCGTCCCTCTTATAATTCAGCCCTCTCGCTACTTCCAAGACCCTGAGACTTTTCCCTTGCTGACTGGGCTGCTTGAGTGCTACAGTGCTATGGTGCTACTGTACTACCCAAATGGTCCCAGATCGTGAGACTGATTTGGGTATCCCGTACCCCATACGGAGTACTCGTACCTGGTACACAAATGATGCCTTTTGCTACTAACCCACCACTGCCTACCATCAACTCACTCTTCCACAAAGACTAACAGGACCGTGTCATACGTTGGCCATACTGGCCATACCTCCACTTTCTCGAACCCCTTCCGCTGCAGTACGGAATACTTCGTACTCGCTCCATTCAGCAGGGACGATCGATGCAAAGCGCTAAAATGGAACAAAAGACGGCCAGCCTACCGCAGGGACAATCTCCGAAAGTTCCTCGTTCCCAGACGATCTCGGCTTCAACGGTACTGCATCCGCGACGAATGTGGTCCAATCCCCTCCGAATGGTGCACTGCCTACCCTGAAGAGTTTGCGCGGGAAACCACCCATTGAATGGGATCATCGGTCGAGAAAAGTACCTCACATACTCTGTCCGGAGTAGATTGGTTTTCTTGGCATGTGGGAACTTGTCCCGCCTCGGGCCTCGACCACGAGTCTCGTTCCGATTCCTCATTCAATCAATCTGCGGAACCCGTGGAGCGGGGCGTCTTCGTTTCGACTTACGGCATTGGTTCCAAGAGCTAGGTTTTTTGCTCGCGTGCCCCTGGATACTGGATCCGCGACATGGTGATCGGCTACGGAGTATGGTTTACTAGGAATACGGGCGACCGGCGGGACAACGACGGACGATGTTTCTCTTGATACTCTTTCTCCCCCGTACATAGGTCGATTTGTCCGGAAAGCTGGGGAAGTGAGATGTGACACCTTGATCCAAGACATCACCAGAGATGGAATGGATGGCCTGGGCGCCAGTTGGAACAAGGCCGGCCACAGTTTCAGAAGAGAAAGCATTCCCCACTCAGCAACTGAAGTTACGCGTTGCCCTCGTCCACGGGACCAATGAGGGTTGCCAGGGGCACGGATCGTCACTAACAGCCGGTTTACAATACAAAGTTGATCACCGCTATGGCCAGCAGGCCCACGCGTTACTATTGTGGAAATTGGATCAGTCGAAGAATTGGGGTAATTCAATTCCAACGCGAGAGCCGACCGACCCATCAAACTGTGAAAACCCAGTGAAACGAGCATACGCAGTCCAAGTCTTGGCATACCGGTATTTACATACAGTCCTTGCACTTGTGTACGAGTACTCGTACACTCCACGATCCACCAGTTTCCCCCCCCTGACTATCGATGGATTCCCCTCCCTGCGTCAGCCGGTGACGTCGTGTCTTTTTTGGTTTTGGCAAAGGATGCAGATTTGAAAACACGAGGCGCCGAGGCAGTGGCAGCGGCAGCGGCAGCGACAGCGGCAGTGGCAGAAGCAGAAGCAAAGGCAGACCTGTTCAGCATAATGCATGGCATCGAACAGAGAATACAGCACCTTCTTACATTGTACGAGTACTATACTTACGCATTAACAAAAGCCAACCAGAGGAATCAAAACTAACACTTCTTTCCAGGAAAAGATTGACAGCTTAGTGGAACTCCCTCGCCACCTCGCGGGGGGGGGCGCAATGCCTTCCCAACTTGCCCGCGCGGTTCGGTCACTTTGATTGGTCCACCTTCTGTGACAGATGTCCACCACCGCGATTGCTCCCAGGGCCTCAGATCAATGCCAACAACGTATTTTTCTTTCCCTTTTATTTTATTCAATTGATTTCCGCTCGTTCTTGTTAAATTCCACCCCTTATCAAGTATCCACCTCTTGATCCCCTGCCCCTTCTAGACTTTTTCTACAGTCTTGTCCCTTCTTTTTTATACCCACTCTTTCGGCACATCACTCGCTCTTTTTCTCCTTCTTTACTCTTCATCTCCAATCCTCTTAACCTCCAACGTCATGTCTCTCGCTCTCTCCGACAACCTGGCTCCTCAGCCTATGACTGATATCTTTACCGATGACACAAACATTGATCGCCGCAAGTGCCACCGCACTGTGCCCATGAAGGTGCTGGCTCTTGGTGTTGGCCGTACCGGCACTGCTTGTAAGTTGGAGATAGATATCCGCTTGGCGCTATGAGCAAAAGCAAAGAACATACAAACTGATTACCCATTCCAGCTCTCCGCAAGGCTCTTGAACGTCTGGGTTACGGCAAGTGCTACCACATGATGTGCGCCAGTGTTGAGAACCCGCCAGACTGCCTGATGTGGCACGATGCCCTGAACGCCAAGTACAAGGGCGAGGGCGAGTTCGGCCGCAAGGAATGGGATCAACTTCTCGGCGACTGCCAGGCAGTGTGCGACTGGCCCGCCTGTGCCTTCGCCAAGGAGTTGATCGAGGCCTACCCCAACGCAAAGGTCATCCTGACCACCCGTGATGTTGACCCGTGGCACGCGTACGTCTTACCTACCCTATCGCTCAAGAACCGAACGAACTGAGCAGAGCAAACGAGCTAACTTCCCACCAGTTCCGTCATGAAGACTGTCCACTGGCGTGTCAGCGACCCGGAGCACAAGTTCGTCTCGAACTTCAGCTGGGCCGCCGGCATGTACTACCCCATGCTGAACAAGTTCTTCGAGACCTTCTTCCGCGGCGACTTCCAGGGTCAAGGCAAGCAAGTCTACAACGAGCACGTCGCCGAGGTCCGCAGCATGGTCCCCGCCGACCGCCTGCTGGAATATAACATCAATGACGGCTGGGGCCCGCTGTGCGAGTTCCTCGAGGAGGAGATGCCCGACACTCCCTTCCCCCGCGGTAACGACATGGCCGACTTCTACAAGCGCTGCAGCACCCGCAACCGCCACCAGATGATGAACGCTGCTCTGCAAGCTGTCACTATGGGCGGTACCATCCTGGCCGCTGGCTTCGCTGCCACCATGGCCTGGAAGCGTTTCGCCAAATAAGCGGTGTTTGATTTGTGTGTAGGGAACAACTCTCCCTTGCATTCTCTTTTGCATTCCCTTTGTGAGCATGCTCTCCACAGTGTGTGCAGGCACCACTGGTGGGAGTAGTAGCTTTGTTTACTCGGTTCTGTCGTGAACTGGTCACTGCAGATTTTTTTCCTTTTATCTATAATATCCCCTATGATGTTCTGTTTATTTTGCATGGTTGCCACCGATATGGGACAAAAAAGCCTAACATACTTCATGGTAATTATTTGTGGTACATATTTTTATGGTCGAGAACATGATTCTATATATCATCTATCATTCACTATTTTTTAGCACAATCTTTGCTAGCAAGCCACCTACGTATGTACATGTAGTGCAGTAAATCCCCCAGCTTCATTCGAAGCCAGCATGGAACCTTGGAAGCCCTTAAACAAGGGCAGCATACTCGGAGCATTATCTTTAGACGCAAGGGGGAGGGAAGAGGGGGGCTTCTGCGAGTCATGCAACCCTCCAATCCGGCTCATTGGAATCTCTCCCTGACATAGCCAAGTATCTACCCGCATACTGGTTACTAGGATGTACAGAGTACAGTACATGCTCGAGTTCGATTCAATTTCTTGGAATATTCAATCTAGTTCTCAATCTCTGTAATTTCAATTTTCGCACAGCAAAAAAAAGGGAAAACTCCCCCTAGAACCACTATTTCATACATATTCATGAGCCTCTGGAACGCTGAGTCTCTCGTACTCGTACGAAGGCGACGCCAGGATTATTGCTTGGCCGGACTAGCGGCTTGGCAGGCGAGCCACGGGCCATTGGCCATTCGCGGCCATCCTTGAACTAAATCTATTCTCAGGCTCTTCGGTTCTTCTCCTCAGTTCCGCCCGGGCTGATTTTTGGGATCTATTCGTGTACTCTGTTTGAGTTGAACATACTTATGTCGCTAACCTCTTTGTTGATGTGTATACGTAGTCGGGTTGCATTGAGAGGACCGTGGGCTGTACAGGGAGACGTACTGGCGTACTGGCGTTCCGTGTTTCTTATTTGGAACTTGAAAGTTGAACTCGTGGTTTGTGACGCATGTGGTTAAAGGTTAAGTGTAAGCTTTGCGATTACTCTGGAGTATTGTATCTATAGATAGACATAGTTATGTACGCAGGACATGTATGTAGATGGATTGACCGAGATAAGTACCTAGTACTAGTGTACACTAATCATTCAAGTTACACTTCAATCCCCATCAAGTACGGAGTACGGAGTAATCCTTGATCTACTCATAATAATAGCTCCTGTTCCCGCTGGTTAGGCCCCCTCTTGATGATCGATTATCAGATCACCTTCCTGATACTGACCCATGTTTCGCGTGGCTTACTCCGTAGGGCA